GTAATTAGTGATTTTTATCCAATGATTACGTTGGAGAGAAAGTGACAATATACTACTTAGATTTAAGCAGTTTTCCTAACCATTTAATCAGTTGTCACATATTTTTTCAAATGTTTGCAAAACAAAACCACAAACAAGATACAAAAGAAACAGAAATACATTTGAAAAGAGGTTGGACGACTCAAACGCTTATTTCCTGCCTCTTTCATTCATTCACACAGCCCAACACATGCATGACAAGACACAGGCCCAAACACTCTCTGACCATACACCTCTCTCACTACTCCCTATGTGCAGAAGGCATCACACCTCCCCGTATTTCTTCAACGCCTGCTTTTTTATTTATCATCCATCTAATCATCACTCCTCGCACTGAGAAAGATGCACATTAATTTAAAAGTCATAAATGTAGACGCTTACAAGTTTTGGCTTCCTCTTAAACGTCATTATTATCGTTATTAAAAAAATAAAGTGGGAGCCTGGGGTATTCAATGCATGTTTCCATAAGGACATTTTTCATCTGCATTTGAGCCCCTCTGAATATACTGCGTTTTTCCTTTTTTTTGTGACCAGCTGTGATCTCTGAGGTGGTCTGCAGACGTAGCAGTCGGCCACCAATTCTGAGCCCACCACTGTTTGTGCTTGTTTGACAATGTAGATGGGTGATTTTCAGTGCTGTACATGTTGATTACTTCACATCCAGCTGTGGGAAGCGTACAGTAGTGGACTTGCACAAGAAATCATAGTGGGAAAGTTTATTAAAGTCTCATTTTTGAGACTGAAGGGAGGCGTTTCCCTGGTACCATATTGTTTTGTAGTTTGATTAATGAAACTGCTGGACAGAATAGAACAATGAGCTCTTTGTTAGGTTACAGGGGTACGTTTAAAAGATATTTTTGAAAAATCCATGCCATCAGCGGAGTTCGGTTTTCCTTAATGTTGTTCTAAGGGGTCTTCAGGGTGGAGACTTTCAAAAAGTGTTTACAGTCTCTGCATTTTTCTGTATGTCAAACGATTGATTGACACAGTGTTGACACAAGAAGTTTTTTGCATAGGAGTAAAACTTCCTAAAATATATCCCCACATAAAAGATAGATTACAAATTATATAAAGAGAGCAGGGTTAGGGTTAAGAGAGTGTAACTTAATTATTGTTGCACTGCTGGTTAAATGTACCTTTTACATTTACAGACGTTTTCCTGCCTTGGGCCAACACTGTTCTGATGACTGATTTAAAGGTAAAGGAGGATGTTCTTTTTCCAGGTGGATCATCAAAGACTCTTGGTCCTCCTAATTGTCAATCATTCTGGTGATATGTGACGTGAGGCCGTCGTACGTGCTCGTCCCTATGTAGCATGGATCTATTAGTTTTCACTTTCTGCGCATGCGCGTGCAGGTGTATAATGAGTGTGTTCACAGTCAAGTGACAATTGAAGTATCTGGACTTTAAAAGGTTATAACTTAAAAACTAAAATTACTTTCATAGATTGGAAAAAAGATTTCAAACACAAACAGATTGAAGAGATAGTGTGGAAAAACTCAAAAGGAAAGATTGACATAAAAATGTTTAGCAACATTTTAAACGATTAAATTAGCCTCTGATTGGACCATATACTGTGACGCCAGTTACATAGAAAATAAAATGTCCTCAGTCTGAAAAAGCAGAAGATGAAATCCCACAAGATTTACATGGTTAACACAACATCAGGAAATCACTTGATATAAAAAGGAATCGTAAAAAAATTAAAATTAATTAAATGACCCCTGAAAAATGTATAACGGACATGATGAGGATGGTCCTCTTTTCTCAAAAAATTAAACTTGAGAAAAAAAAAAATCTTGTCTGTTTTCACATTTAATTGCTTGACAATATGAAAGTATCACTTTGCATCTACTTTGTGTAAAAAAAAATAGAATCTCTGAATCAAATGTGGACATCTGAAAATACCTATCAAACTTCCACAAAACCCATTCCGTCAAATCATCACGTCCGTTACATAAAATAAACAGGGCCGCTATAGGAAACGTGTCTAATGTATAAAACAGTTATGTTCTAGCAACTTCTAATGGACAGAGGAGGTGTTTGGAAACATGAAAAACATAAATATCTTCTGATTATTAAAATCTAATTTTTGGCCTTTTGTCACACTTTTGTGCCCTTTAGTGTGAACAAGCCCGTATACGATTGGCTTTACACTTATTCCATAGAAATGTTTGCTTGTATATTTTCACTTACTGCCGGTGGTGAGTCTGACATAGTGGAAAAAGTGCAAATCTTCTTGGAAAGTGAGCTTGTGTGAGCGATGCCGACAGTGACTTGTTAACAGAGCGTGCACGAGGAGAACTTGGCTCGTGTATGTCTCTCGCACACGTTTTAGTAGACGTTCCGTCTCAAAAGTGCATGTGCATTTTTTTCAAAAAGTTGAGAGGGCGGTTCATTCCTATAATTCAGGAAAATCCTCCTGTATACCTTTTTAACAATTAAGAAGTTTGAAAAAATATTTCAGGACTGTTTTGTTAACAATAGTCATTTCCATGTACACCTTAGTTTGTGAGGAGGAATATGGTATTCTGTGTTGGATGGGCAGCCAATGACGGAGATGTGGCCCTCCTCGCACAGTTCTGAATGTGCTGGAGCCTCAGCTGGTTCCAGGGATCCCGACAAGGTGGCATGGCAGTCCCCCAGCCTTGCATTTTATTCTTGGTTTAGCATACTTTGATTATTTACAAAGCGAAAATTGTGCCTCACCAGCTCTGTTTGTGGTTACGGTATTGTTGCCGTTTAGAGCCAGAGCTCTGCTGCTCATTACCCTGAGAGCCTCACACAGAGTGTGCTTGATCCTCCTTGAGAGCGCCTCACTTGTCCTCATCACTCTTCTGTCAGCGGAGGGCTGCAGGTGGTAGAACCAATGCTGCAAAACCACTCTTTTACAGTCTATTGACTTCCAGATGACCTTACATCTGATGTTTTAGTTACAGGAACAAAAATATATTTACTACGATTTTATAAAATGTTAACTTCATTTTAAATTGTATTTATTGAATCCAATTTAAGCTGAGATGCCGCTATTCTAACAGTGGTACACACAATCAGGATTAATAGTTAAAAGTTCATCTTTAGCTTTATTGATCAATGCTTATTTATGTTTACAAAGATTTACGAGTTGAATAATTTTGCTTTTATATTATTTACTTAAAGGAGCTATACCCGTTTCACTTTTGCATATTTTGGGCCGTGTTGCTGTATCTGCAGTTACAGCCAGAGGAGTTATAGCCACTGCCTGCCTCCATGTTGTTCTGTTTACATGCACTGTAGACGCAGGAGGAGGCGGCCTGTTTGTAAAAGCACCGCCCCTCGTTGTACAAGTGGAGGAGAACGAGCATCACGCAGAATTATCACGCAGAATTTCTGCTCAGCTATTTTTATGGCCTGAATTCATACACAAGCTGAAGGAATGAGCTCAAGTTTTCAATTAAATTAAGGATTTTAATACGACTTGTATGTAGTAATACAAATCTTTATGAACTCATTAGAAAATAAATCGGGTATAGTTCCTTTAAGTTTAAACTTGTGTGACATAAGAACTCTAAAAATCTCTCAGTGCTTTGAAATGGCAGCTATTTCTTTGTACCATTTGTATGAGTGGAACATGACAGTGGCTCTTGACATCAAGAAAACCTACTAAGTACAGATGATGGGTGAGAAACCTTCCTTTGCAGTGGCTCTTATTGTTGACTTTTAATACAATTGCTAACATGTTTAATTGTTAAAGCATTTTCTTATTGTTGAAATGAGAAATAAAACATCTTACATTTCAGTTGTATTAGTTTTATCAATTCCCAGGGATAACACAATGCAGTACTCGTATTGGTATCCGGTATCGGCAAGTGCTCAAATTAAGGTACTCGTATCTGTTTTGAAAAAAGTGGTATCGCTGCATCCCTAATTACTTGCACCTGCCCTTATATACCATCACATTAAAAGGCATGTCATTTCCTAATCCAATTTTTTTTGGGTCAAATAAGTAGGAGTGGGCGATATGGGCAACAATAAATATCTCAATTTTTATAACAAAATTGTCACGATATCTTTAAAATTAATTATTTTTACACAAAATTATCTGCATTTTTTTTTGCTTGCCAGGACATCTCTAGACAGTGTACAAATAATAAGCTGCCATTTTGATCTAAAGAACACATCCAAAAAGGCTCAATATTTACTGAAATGTACAAATGAACCAGTGATTGGCTTTTTAGGCACGCATTTGACTGAAGTAGGCATCTTGCCTACTCTGTAATATATGTATTGGAGATATGTAAACAAAAAAAAACACCTTTTAAATTTAAATTTACAGTTTGCAATATTATTGTCTATGATATATATCGCTCATTCATTGTTTCTATTAGGGGTGGGAACCTAAGGGTACCTCACGATACGATACGATACAAAGCTCACGATACGATACAAAGCTCACGATAACGATAATATCATGATAACAATTTTATCACAATACGACGATTATTGATATATTGGTCAGAAATATACAATATGCCAATTTATGGCATAAATAAAAGAAAAATTACTCTTTATTTCATGATAAATAGAATGGAGATGCTTAATGTAGCCATATATTAAGTATTGATACCAATTCAAAAAAAAAATGTGTAAAAAGAAAAAAAAAAAAAATCTTTTTTTTTTTTTAAATCGATATTGATACTTGGCAAATGCATATCGATAATCGAATTGCGGGAGAAAGTATCGCGATATATCGAAAAATCGATATATCGTCACACCCCTTGTTTCTATTATCACAGAACAAATTATTCAAACTGTAGTATAATATTTGTTATGCAATTTTCAGAAACTATTGTATGGATGGTGTTTAATAATTATAATTGTATGAAGAGATGTGGGATATGATCTATATATGAGACATTGTTGTTGCTTTTCAAATATTTCAGGATATTTCTCTAAAGTGAATTTCATGTGTTTTTTTCTAGGTGTGAACAAAAGCAGACGTCCAAGGCTGCAGTTCTTCCTGCAATACGGTAAGACTGCAGGTAGTGGTCCCCCGAGACCTCCACAAGCAACATCACATTGAATGTGCTCTATATGTCTGCTTCAGCACTGCAGAGGCTTTGCTGCATTTCTAACACACGTTTCATTTGCTTTGTCTTCTACATTTGACCAGCGAAATGAAAATAGTAAAATAATAAACACATTTAGATATGTAAGCTTTTTGAGGACTGATACCTTTAGTTTTAATTCAGAGTTTTCACCAGATTGTGTTTGTAACATTGGGAGCATTGTAGCTCAGTCTGGCTACGCCTCTCCATGAACTTTGGTGCATGGATTCCTTTGATTCGTGATTTATCTATTTACAAACACAAGTTGTGTGTGGCTTGTGTAAACATTTGTCTGATTCTGGATTATTCATTGGACTTGTGAGAATAGTCACGCTGAGAGTCTCTTATATGTCTGAGTCTTTCTCACATAAATAACTTGTTAAAGAGCAAATCTGACCGCTGTAAAAACACTGCAGATATTTGTGTCTTTGCATTTTATTGGAATGGTCACATGACCACTGTTTGATCATTAGATGAAGCAGAGAAGAATTACTGTTGTTGACAATGCTGATTTATATAAAAATTGCAAAGTGGCTGCAATTGAACAATGATAGAAACTATAGAAGTACAAAGAAATCTCAGCGTAAGGGAAGAAAAGGTCTGGGCCCCTAATACTCATTGTCGCATTGTGTTTTAACAAGCTGAACATTATTTTGTATTGAAAATAATTTTAAGAAACATTTGAAACTCAGACTCATTATGTTCATTTGAACATAATAATTATGGAAATGTTGTGGAGAAAGAAGAGCTGAGTCGAATTTGCCTTTTTATTTTCCTGAGCTTTGAGGAATGACTGAAAGAGCGAGGTCTCGATAGAAGAGGTCTAAAACAGTGGCTGGGCTCTTCCTTACAGATCAGGTGAGGAGCTCAGTCACGCGGGAGGTGCTCAGACTAGAGTTGCTGCTTCTCTGTGTCGACAAAAGCCCGTTGATATCGCTCAGAATCTCTTTGGAATGCCTCCGGGACACCTTCCTGGGGAGGGAAGAACTAGGACTATGTCTCTCAGCTGGCCTGGGAATGCCTCAGGATTGAGCTGTAGGGAGTGTGCGTGGATAGGGAAGTCTGGACGTCTCTGCTTGGAGAGCTGCCCCCGTGACAGATTTAAGTGGGAAAATAATGATGTGAGAACCCTGCATAATGTGAATCCTTTGAATAATATCTTATTTGCTAACTACCTACAAAATCTGCATTGTCCTCAGCAAACCTACAGTTAATCTCTAATGTTAATATGCAGCTAAATCTCAGCTCACAATCTCATTATGGTCTTAATTAGGGACCAACCAATTTGGATTGTTTTAAGCTGATAATTTTTTTTTTGATTGTGCGTTTGTGTGAGTGATTTTTTTATTTTAAATTACATTTGGTGGAGCTGGTCACATGAATGGTGATTATTTTGTCACTATAGCGAATTAATTCTAGAGGTCCTTTCTCCTTTGATATATGGCATGTGTAGTTTATCAGAACTAATGACATTGTTCATGATCATGAACGGGTGAATTCTGCAGATTCTGAGCCAAAATTAGCTAAGAAATGTTTATATTGGCTGAGATCATGTTCGACAAAAGTAGTCGGCTGAGTGGAGGTAGTTACTTCCAATGATTAAAAAGAAGTTGCTTATTACCGATGTCACAGAACTCGATTAAAACCGTTATATTGGTTGTTTCATAGTTCCTTCTCACTATGACCTAATTATGTTCTCTTCTTGGCCATTACACTTTCAAACCTAATCTTCAATGATTTATTCAAATTTCCCATGAAAGAAAACGGATTTTCATATTAATGGGGAAAATATTTAGTTAAAACAAATCTGCGGTTTTGTGGTTTGGCGTTTGGCGTTTTGAGGTGATGAAATAGAACACTGCAGAGCAGCATATGGATTTTATTCTTTAGAAAATCAAAAACAGACTAACCTTGACAGTTATAGTAAGTTATTTTATATGAGCACTCTTAAAATGTCACCTAAAATTTGGATTGACGGATCTTCATGCATACATGATTGTCTCGCTAACATTATTACTTTGCCATAAATACTTTCAACTAGTCTTTTGAGTTTGTGCCAAATACAAATCCTGGAAAATGCTGTTGCTCATCTCACTGAGGGTCTCCCACTTTATCTGCATTTCTTCCATTATCAGTTTTCATGGGCAACATCACAGCACATGGCGACCAATCACCTGTTTGTTTCCAGGAAGTGTTGTGTAATCCTCTCAGCATGAAGCCAAATAGGACCCAGTGTCCAGACAGACCAGTGGCCTGCTTGGCACGCTGCAATAGGAATCCATTTCTCATCTCTTCGTCAGGATGTCTGCATCTTCAGAGTTCATTTAAAGTTGCCTCAGATTATCTTTATAAAGCTCTGTAATATGTTTAAGAAAATCAATTCAATACACGACTATGATGATGAGTGTTATAATATTTGTTCTAAGAATATTTATTTTATTAACGTATAACACAACACGTCCTCTCAAACACACTTCCATTTACTTAGAGAAAGGCACTGATGTTATGTTTAGAGTCTTGTCACTACAATTTCGACTATATGGCTGTGCCATAATCTCTTGTTAGAACGAGGTTATTGACAGGACAGAATCCAATAATGTCTGTTATAATCATAATAATAATAGTACAGTGGTTTCATATAACTTTCTTAAAGTAGCAGTATGTAATATTTGCATGTCAAGTCATCATTAAATGGCCCCAATGTTTCAAAAGGCATTATTAAATCATGCTCTTTTCCAATACATCTTTAACTGATCAAAATCGTTTTACGACCCGTAAAAGATGCGATTGTTTTGATTTCGATGTCCCACCCGCCGCTGTTGTGCCAATCAGGAAGTGAGTGATCCGGGTTGCCAGAACTCCCCGCGGCTAATCTCACTGGTAAAATAACATGTGGCCGCAGAGCTAAAAAGGTTTTGTTATGACTCTAAAATCATAATGAATAATAATAATGAATAATAATAATAAAACGAGGATTTATATCAGGACGCCTTTGAAAAATTGAGACCGCGGATAAAAGTTTTAGTGTGATGGAAAACTTGATGGACTGATTCAGTTTTTCTCCGATGAATACTGTATAAAGTGTGTAATGATGGCCTAATGGTTAAGTCATAGGGCTTTGGTACCAATGACCTGGGTTCGAATCTGGTTGGTATTTGAATTATGGCAAATTGAATATTAAATTTTATGACAGATTCCTAAAAATGCAGAGTAAAGCTTATTTGTAAAAATAATTTGAGACCACATGTACCCCAATTAAAATGTTTGTCTCTGTTTGATGTGGGACTTATACATGTATGTCTAAAAAATAGGGAATAAATAAAATTGAAGGGTGATATCCTCTGGAGGAAACCCTGATGTTGATACGCTGAAGAAATATGTTCCAACATCCATTCTTCTCACTCCTAGTTTGGACATTAATTGGATGTCCTAAGGACACAACAGCAGTTATAGCCACGGCCTTCCCACAGTGGCACCTGGTGTTCCCAGAGGTCTCCCTCACAACTTGCTTGTCTTGTCATGCTAAGCTTCTGAGGTCTGACAGGATCAGGCACCTGTAGGAGGAGGTCCTGTTTTTGCATGACTGACTCATGTGTCCTCGTCTTTCACTCTGGTTGGCTTGAATGTTATGGACAGTTATATTTCAGTTCATTTTGTGGAGATAAACAAATGTTGTATTCATCATACCATGTTTTGTTTTTTCATGAAAATGGTTTAAATAAAACTAAATACAAATCTAGTTGTTACTCCTGATCGCTCAAATATATTTTCCCAAGATTGCGTAGGAGTATTTGGGAGTATTTCTCACTTGCCTTGCTTCCTGTTGACCCTGTAGTAGCAGTGTGTGCTGCACTTTACTGCAGGGGACCCAGGGGGATGCTGTGAGCCTTTCAGATGTCACCTTTCTGAGAAGGCGTTAGTCACTACTTCTATGTTGTAATGTCTCGCAAAGTGAGCTGTACTGAGGTCACGCTTGGATCTTTCCACACCGATGCATGTCCTCAAGCGTCGCTTCAAATATCACGGCTGAGTAGCAACATACGTTTTTATATTTGTAGTACGTATCTAGGACAACAACTGCTTAAGTTTCATTTTTAGTTTAACATAATATTCAGTAATATATTTACTACTACCAATGGCACTACCACACTGGAGAGGCAGAATCTATGTTGGTTTGGTTTTTCATGTTGGACTGACCTTTGAAAGTAAGACATATTATTGGCAATAAATATTATTATAGGCTTTTTTCCCCTTCATATTTTTAGAGCCATGTTAGATTTCCTCTAACACTCTGGTGATGAATTTCTTATGCCTGATCCTCTGCTGGCTCGGAGCAACTATGTGAATGGGGGATCACTTTTTATTCCTTTATATGCTCATGACTTTTCAGCTTAAATAAGTGGTTCTTAAACTTTTCAATCAGGGATCCAAAACTACTCCTATAATCAACTCTTTATTTAAGACGCTCTTTGACCTAATTTCCAGTAAATAAGTATAGTGCATTGCGAAAGTGTCGGGACAGCTTGATCTCTCTTGCATTTTGTCATGTTATGATGACTACAAGCTTATTTTGTTTGTTTTGGTCTTTCTGTGAAAAATCCCAAAGACACAGACAACTGAAGTGAAAGCAACACAATACATGACTTATTTATTATTATTATTATTATTATTTTGCGTACGTCACTGGACTGCATGAGTTATTACTATCTGGACTCTCAAGCTCCTGACTAATATTTCCCCCCTGTACAGATGGGGGAAAGTGAGCTGTGGATGTCTGCAGCTCCTCCAGAGTAACCAACGGCCTCGAGTCTGTGATCAGTGTTGTCCTTGGTTGAGCTCTGAGTTTGGGAAGACAGCTGCGTTTTGGTAGATTTTCAGTTGTAGACTTTTTTCAGTTATTTATTAAACTGAAGATGTTCAGACACTTTTGCAAGATACTGTAAATATTCCCAGCCAAGTATCTACGAGAACCACAAGCTTAAACAATAGGGCACACCCTTATTTTGAAAGATCATGAATACAGGTCGGCTGTGTTCTCATCTGACCGAAACACGACACGTGCATTTGTGCTGCTGCGAACAGACGCATCACCGGCCCTCGCCTCCCGGTGTCTCACCAACTCTTTCATTAAACACATGCAGACGACAGCCGCACAGCTTTTGTCACTCAGAAGGAATGCATTCTGTCACTGGAGACAACCACCAACAACCCTGCGGTTATTGGGATCGGCAACAACCGTAATGTTTTCCTCAACGCAGTGGTTCTCAACAGGTGGGACGCAAGCTTTTCCTGGGAACACAAAATATGTATCAATGACACTGTAAAAAGATGAATCAATGTTTAATAAAAGATTATTACCATCATTATTGGTAATATATCTCAGTGCTGTGGTCCTGTTATGAAAGTATGGATGTGCTTTACTTTAATCGCAACAATTCTAAAGTGTGTGGGAGTGTGCACGTCCGTCTGTGTGTGTTTGTGTCTAAACTGTCAAATTTCCCCTTTATCATTCACCTTTATGGATAATAAACAAATATATTTTCCTTTTGTTTCTCTCCTGATGTTTATGTATTTTTATATACAATTTTGTAAAAAAAAAAAAATTAAGCATTGCATTTAATGTTGTTGTTAATGACATGAAGAACACTTATTTCTTGATTAACTGATAGATTACTCGATTATTACAATAGTTGCGCGTTGTCTGTGGAAATAGATCCTTTTTTAGTATATGTCAAAAACCCAGTTCTTTACATTGTCATAGAGGTCTCTTCTAAAGTATTTTTCTTTGAGCTCCAGCCATATCCACTGACATGCATGAGTAAATGAGACTTTGCACCTGAGGAAACAAGGAGATCAGAGAACACCAAACACCAGGAGGAAAGAACCAGTTTTATTTGGCCTCGTTGTGCACAAAATTCAATTTCAGTGGAAGCTGCCTCCAAGACTCATGAGATAAAAGGAAAATGGGCCCAAGCACTGGAACTTGTATCTATGGTTCAATATATCAATGAAGCGCTGTGCAGCCTGCTGGGAATGCCCAGGTCCGATTACAGTAACGTGGCCTCTAATCCAATAATAGAACAGCTCACAAGTTAAAGAGGCCACAGCCCGCTCTGCCCGGGACCAAGAAGTCAATAGCTAATTTCTAACATGGGTCACACTGCACAGGTCATTTTCTCTCACTGTTGAAACTTGTCGGACTGAAAATCACGCATTATTGGATATTGTAACTCTACCTAGTCATTTGTCAACGTGTCATGGGCAAGCTTGAACGGAAGCTGGTTACTTCAGCGTAAATAAAACCTCCCATTTTATATAAACCAATTGATCAGTTTTCAATTCCATTATATATGTTTTTCTTAATAGAAGCTGCTCCCTATAGCCTTTAAAGGAAGTGTAGAATGAACATGTCAACCTTAAGCTTATACCTAAAAAAAACAAGTCTCGCTGCCACACATTAAAACCACAACATGAGGAATACGTTTTTAAGTCAATTGTGGTTTTTTTGTCTGAAATTGCATTGCTGTGGATAATAGTAACCAGGTATTTAGCCTCTGTCGTGTCTTCAAACTCTTGATTTTTCAAAATTCCTTTTCTTCAGGATGTGTGTATGTAGTTGGTTTCTGCTTTTATCTGAGGCCAGTTATTCAAAGCTTGGCAATAAAGAGTGTAGGTGTTACTGTTGCAGTTGAAATCACAAAGAGAAGGGAGAAAGATTTGTGCTCATGTTTTGCAGTGTGGGAGTATCAGGCTAATAATTATTGTACTCTATGTAGCTTAGTTGCTTTTTGCAAACTCTAGCTCCTGATTTTTGTATCATAATGCGTTTGTCAAAGTTTTCTGCTGAGGCTATCTATACTGGTGCAGGCATTTCTAATTTGCATCCATACTTCATTATTATTGTTAAATCTGACGGTCTGTCTCTCACTCCAAAACCAGACTAATAGGAGGCGTGAGTGGGACACATGCCATCTCTTGTTTGAGCAGCTTTAAATGTCAACTTTAATCTCAAATCAGAGCTTTTTCCCTTAATTATACAGATAGTCACCAGGTCAAAACACAGGTTGTTTTTCTTAATTGATCTCACTAAATAGGAAAACGTTACTTATGATTTGTATATCCACAAAGTGAGCCTCAGCAAGACTCACAGTAACCACATCATAGTTTTATTGCATTATCCTTTTCTGTCTTATCTCTGCCTCTTCCTGTTCGGACGCCTCTGTTGGCCTGTAAAGCATCTGGGCTGATTACAGCCTAAAAGAGAAAAATAGCAGGTTATTTCTGGCCGTCAGTGAAGATGATCTGTGGAAGCGAGCAAACAAATACCACCTAAGCAGAAGACAAAGGAGGATTGAACAAAATTATATTGACAATGGCCTTTACGCTGACGTGGATACATCTTTATTGTGTCTGTGGATGAAAACGAAGAGGCTTCGTTTCAAACTGTATATTTGAAATGCTCACTCAATCCAGTTTTCTCCAGGGTCATAGAGAATTCTACAGCAATGTTCCATAAAGCTTTTTTAAATGTATAATAATATTTAATAATTATAACGGCTGTATATTGCAGGATTTTTTTATCTCCAAATGTAAATGCATTTGGCCCAGTTATATAGGTATTCACGTTCACTTTTTCATGGGAGTTGTGCAGTTTATTTTCCCCTCCACGGCCCACTCACTACTGACCGTGAACAAGTCTCACATAGGGCCCAGATTCTGTGCTGTGCAGTGGGGTCATGGATCGTCTGGAGCATGATCCTTGTGCCCTCAGAAGCTGACCTCCTGCAACAGAGGAAGACTGTTCCCTCAGCCTCATGACAGGAGGTCCACTGTTTAAAAGCCTTTGCTGTCAATGTACTCCAGCATTATTGTGAGTTATGGTTTCAGTAAAATGAAGTTGTGAGTGGGAGGAGGGGTGCATTTCAGAAAATCTCTAACAATACAATCGGAAGTAATGGTTAGAACATACACAGAACTCAACACATTATTTCAGCTCAAAGATCTTGATTTTGTTTTTTTTGCAATATTCTGATTCAGTATACATTTGGAATAAATGCATCATGTAATAACAGGCATGCTCTGAAGGTCCTGGGTTCGAATCCCAGTCGGAACAAGGCCTTTCTGGGTGGAGTTCGCATGTTCTCCCCTTTTCTGCGTAGGTTTCCTCCAGGTGCTACGGTTTCCCCTACCACTTAAAACATGCATAATAGGTACGAATATAATGAGTGAGTGAATGGATGGTGTTGTTGGGGGCTTTGATGCGCAAATGTGCTCGGCGTCTGGCTTCCGTCATCACTGTGTGTGGAGAGAATGGAACAATATCTGAACTCTTAACTTTGTAAAGCGATTTGGGTCACCTTGGTCTGTAAACTGTGGAAAGTAAATAAAGTACTTTCTTGTGCTTTCTATCTGTCCGTCAAAAAGATGCATCTTCCACCTGTTCTAATCATGGACCAGTTTATATGTATCTTTCATATTATTCTCATGTTGTCATTAAAAGCTGAGGCACAAAAATATCAAAGCACAAAAAATTGGAACTTTGTAATAAAATCCGTCTAACAAGCTCTTTTCATATGCACGTGTTATTTGGCCGTTATGTATTTGCATCAGGATTTTCAAACAGAGGTAAAAAAGTTTTCAAAAGATTGAATGTTTTCTGATGAAGACCATAATGTTGTGGTCTGATTTTCACTCTTTATGCACAAATAAAAAATCTATTATGAAAACAAAGAAAGGCTTGCTGACCTAAACATAAGTACTATCTTTTGTCGGAGATTTGAAACTATTATCAGACTGTATTTCTCATTTGTCATTGTCGTGTGTTCAGGTGTAGCTGCTGCCGGCCTTAAAGATGGTGGTGCTGTCGCTGAAGATCTGCGTCCGCCACTGTAATGTGGTGAAGACGATGCAGTTCGAGCCCTCCACAGCCGTGTATGACGCGTGTCGAATCATCAGAGACCGGGTCCCCGAGGCACAAACCGGGCAAGGTACCAATCACATCTTTCCCTAAGGATTCATTTCGCTGAACTTGAAATACACTTATATCAAGCAAGAACAAGACAAGAAAAGATTGTGCTCTTAAACTGTTTTGTTTATGGTGTTTTGTAATATTTGTATTGTATGTATTATCTTAAAATTGACACATTTCAGGATTAGCAAGTCAATTTTCCAAAAAAATTGAATTCTAACTTCATGTAGATGCTCTTTTTATCTCATTGACTGCCAGCCGTTTTTGATGATTTCACTGTATCTCATGACTCACTTATTATTATTTCCTAAGACTATTTGGAATATGAAACCAGATTCTGAAAGACTGGATTGTCTACTTAGATTAGCAAAAATGAGTTTGTTTCTAGCTATTTTTATTGTCCTGTAATCCCCAGTGGAATAGAGGGTCTCAGACAAATACGTCAATGGCAGTCAATGCGTTAAACTTGTCGACGACTCGCGTGAGCAGAGCCGATTTTCAAATTTTTGAATCTGTTTCAGCGTCAGATTATGGCCTCTTCTTGTCCGACGAAGACCCCAGGAAGGGCATCTGGCTGGAGTCTGGCAGAACACTGGACTATTACATGCTCCGAAATGGGGTAAATGTCCTAATGCGTTTAGGAAACACAGATGCACAAACAGAACATCGCTGCAGCCTCTCTGACCACTGTTTATACTCGGCGCTGTGTGGGAGCCAAGAGGGCACATGCACACAAGGGCTTATCACGGGGGATTTACTGCGACCCCTATGAAGAAGATACACTTGAATGAACAAAAGAAAAGAGCAAATTAGACATGGCAAGTTTATTTGTAGATCACAATTCATACTTACAAGGCAACCCTAAATGCTGATCAAAACAAGATAGATACAATCACACAAGGCATTAACATCATAAATATTTGCAGTACATACAAAAATATAAAATCCCTAAGTTTCATGCACAGCTAAATTGTTTTCAACCTGAATGAAGACATTGTCAGAGAACAGGCATGTCTCACATTTTCAGAAAGATTGTGAAAAAGTGGGATTTTTGAATTTAAAGGTCAAAATACAGTATATTTAAAAAAATCTAACACATTTACAGTCAAAGTTTTTTGGTATGGTGTCTATTACTGAAACTATACAACAATTTACAAATAAAATGGTAAAGATCAGGGTAAAAGATATCTTGCACTACCACTTCAAGAGCAATTGTGTTGTTATTTTTGTCTTAACCTTATCACCTTTTTGCCTGTAATTCTACTACAATGATCTATCACTAGCCTCTTTAGGGCATCATCCCGAAACCCCTCTGCGGTTGTGCTGTTTAAAATAGTTTCCCTCTTCAAATGACCTAAAGGATCCTCAGCTACAACATGTGACCGAGACCAATCATAGCGAACCAAATCTCCTTTATTTTTTGCCGCTGAAAGAAAAAGGGGGAATTTTGTTAAGCTAAAATAAAGTCCGGTTTGTTTACCATGATTTTGTGGCTTTTGTCTTTTGAGCAGGATATTCTTGAGTATAAGAAGAAGCAGAGGCCACAGAAAATCAAAATGTTGGATGGAGCTGTGAAAACCGTAATGGTCGATGACTCTAAGACTGTGGGGGAACTGCTTGTCACAATTTGCAGCAGAATAGGTACATGCTCAGGGCTTTGAGGACATGCACCGCTATGGATATTCATTTAGACGTTCTAATCCTCTCTAATCCTTCTTCTTCTAATGTTGTAGGCATCACAAACTATGAAGAATACTCGCTCATCCAGGAAACGGTGGAGGAGAAGAAGGAAGACGGCATGGGCACACTTAAGAAGGACAGAACTCTGCTGCGCGACGAGAGGAAAATGGAGAAACTCAAAGCCAAACTTCACACAGATGACGACTGTAGGTTGATAGTAGACCGTGCTTTACAAATCTAGACTCTGTGAGTGGAAAGAATAATGCAATCATTAGTGGGGCTGGACTGAAACAATGAAATCCTTTGTCTACTAAATTCAGAGAACCATGTATTATGCAACTGACTATAGTCAAAAAACATTGGGTGTAAAATAACTAATAATTCATCACGGTGTAGTACAAGTGTAGCACAAGTAATTCAAGTGTAGTACATGCGACATCACAACAATCTTGCCTGGTAGCTCTGATATCTTTCAATTTCGTTCATTTGCTATTTTTTCTTTCATTTGGCCAAACCACATGAACAAAATACTGTCACAAAGTTCCACATCTTCTTTGTCTGTCGATATCAACTTGAATATACATTTCTTTTCTCCATAAAGCGTTTAGAAGTGGTGTAATATTCCAAAAACATGGATGATTCTAGCCATTCAGACACAAGAATAATATGGCTGGTTTGTGAAAACGAATCACTGTTAAAGGAGCAGGAGAAGAGACAGGCCTCCTCTCTGACAATGTTTAAAACCAGGTTAAAGACAATTCTGTTTAGCTGTGCATACAACTGAGGGATTTTATATTTTTATCTTTCTTTTTAATGTTCTGTGATAATTTATGATTTTAATGCTTTCTTGTTTTGTTCAGCACTTTGAATAGCCTTGTGTATGAATTGTGCTATATAAATAAACTTGCCTTGCCTTGCCTTAAAAATCTGGCCAAAAGTTGTACTGCACTCTCCCTGATGCAGGTCGCCAGATATGCAGACAAATCCAACTGGGACCATAATAGCTGAGTAAAGAGTTTTGTGAACAACAAATCTATAGCCAACACCTTTTTCAAAGATGGAAATCCTGGTTTGATTCCATGTTTTATCATTAATGATTTGAGAATCATAAGAGCTTTTTTAGTTCTGCGGCCACATGGCACTTTACCAATGAGATTAACTCAGCGTGTCTGGCAACCTGGCTCACAGACTTTCGGATTGGTGAAACGGTGGAGGTAGGAACACCGAAATGAAAACATGTAGGGGCTGTAAAACTAATTTTTAAATCCAAACAACTGTTACCAGTTAAAGAAGTATTTGAAAAGACCATGTTTTATTAATGCATTTTGACAAGTTATGGCATTTAAGAATCATTTGAGATGAAAACATTACATATTGCTACTTCAAATGATTATCTGGAAAAACATTTGGACGTTTTATTTTTCAACATTTCTTTCAAAAAACGTTTCTGCCCCATAGAGTTGTATTGGCCCCTGCCCTCCAACTGAATTAGAGTGAGAGTGGAGAGATGGATCTGGTTTGAATTTTTAAAGCAATGGCTTCTGCTTTTGCCAAATTGCTTTTTTCCTATAGAAATCCTTGTAATGTGGATAAAACAATGCAATGACTAATGCATTATGGGACGCTAAGAAACCATTGAGCTATCCCCAATAATTAGTTTTGTCTGTTTTTGTTTTAGTGAACTGGCTGGACCACAGTCGAACTTTCAGAGAGCAGGGCGTGGATGAGAGTGAAACCCTTTTGCTTCGCCGTAAATTCTTCTACTCGGACCAGAATGTTGACTCTCGAGATCCCGTTCAGCTTAATCTCCTCTACGTTCAGGTAAAGAACATGTTCCCAATGCATGACTTTCCCTCCACACGCACCATAAGACCCAGACTAATGCTCTTTCGTGTGCGATGGCGCCTCTCAGGCCCGGGACGACATTCTGAACGGCTCTCATCCCGTATCGTTCGACAAAGCCTGTGAGTTCGGAGGCATCCAGGCCCAAATACAGTTCGGACCTCACATCGAGCACAAACACAAACCCGGATTCCTGGAGTAAGTCAAGTCAGCAAACGTCAGGCACAGAGATAAACACAACTTATAAGACGTAAAACTGCTTAAACCACAGTTTCATGAAAGAAAGAAATGTTTCCTCAACGTCTTTTCTGTTGTTCCAGCTTAAAGGAATTTCTTCCCAAAGAATACATAAAGCAAAGAGGCGCCGAGAAGAAAATCTTTCAGGTATGGCGCAGTTGCAGTTTACGTTTGCAGTAATGTGTTGTTTTAAAACGGAATGTATTGTGACCTGCAGGAGCATAACAACTGCGGAGAAATGACCGAGATAGAAGCGAAAGTAAAATACGTGAAACTCGCACGTTCTCTGCGCACGTACGGAGTGTCCTTCTTCTTGGTTAAGGTAAACCATCTTTCTGTTTTGGAAACGACTAAATGAAAACCTCAGAGTTCCAAGAAATTCCAGATCAGCAGTTATCCCACATAAGGATTCCTATTGTTAGTTGACAGCTGTAATTTTGCCCATTTGTGCAGAGCTAGGTTACATTCAAGTCCCCCACAAGTTGACCTGAAGAAACACAAAACAGTTGCATATTTTACATGAAAGACCAGGACAGAACCTCTCGTGAAGATTGGAAATAGGCTCATGTTGGGATTAGTCTCTGTGACTTGTGAGCATTAGACATATGTTTTCTATACAGTAGGCAAGGCAAGTAGCACAATTCATATGTTGATGATTCATATATGATGTATGCAATTCTCAGATTATTTATTTGTACTTCTTATCTTGTGCTAAATAAATAGTTACTTATGAATACATTTTTGTATTAAAAGTATATTGGAGAATTTTCCCACATTTTAGGAGGAAACCACCCTCTCGTCTGTTTGAACAACTTGGTCTGGTCTTATTTGACGAGCACGTATCACCAGAATGATTGACATTTGGGAGGACCAATATTCTTGATGATCCACTCGGAAGAAGAAAATCCTCCTGTATAGCTTTGATATAAAGTGTTTGAGTTGCTAAATGGAATCCTTCCTCTTTTGTCATCACTTTCAAACAATATTCTAGGATAAAATGGCTGTATCCTATTTCTAGTTTTTATCCTACTCTTTCACACAGTAAAATAGACGCACCTTTGTTGGTTGCCATTATTCTTCACGTCCAACCAACTTGTAAAAAATATGGAAAAAAACATACAATATCTTGAGTCAAATCTTGTATGAGCTCTGTAGTCTGACCTGTCATATAGACCTCAACTTGGTAAAGAATTAAAATCTCACCATACCTGAAGCTCATTTGGAGACTGTAAGATATTGATATTATTGGTCACTTTCTGCTTTAATCATATATTACTGAGAAAAAACGCACACTCTTACAGCTCATCTGAAACTCGTGATGTCTAAATCTTACCATGCACTGAAATTAATCAGTGACACACGACTGTTAGGTGTTTTATAACCATAACTGTTGATTTATTTGTCCATTTGTCCATCTATAACCTGGGATTTTCTTGTCTGTGTTTTTATTGTTGCATTTCTTGTGTTGAATTGTTTGATTCTAAGATCTGTGTTGGCAAATTCAGCGCTTTTGCAAAGTCCTCCGAGATCACTGCTGTTGTGATTTATGGCCATACAAATTGAATTGAATTGAATGTTTCTGTGCAAACGCTAAGACAAACTCAAGTGTGAAATCATGTTTGGCCAAGTCTCTGTTTTGGTTCAGTGGATATAACTGCCCAATAATGACTGTAAAAATGATGGTGACATTAAAGAATAACTTTGTTGATTTGTACGTTTGTGAAATGTAGATGATGTCTCGCTTCTTTGATCCATGGCCGTGTTTGAAATGCAGCCACAACAACAAAGCTTCCGTATATTTAATGACAATGACAGAGGGGGAGAATACTTTTGAGTGTCCATACCTGTAGGTTTGACCGGCTCCTCATCTGCCGTTTCTCTTTTTTTACTGTGATTACATTTTGATCTCAGGAAAAGATGAAGAGCAAGAACAAGCTGGTGCCTCGGCTGCTGGGCATAACCAAAGAGTCTGTGATGAGAGTGGAGGAGAAGACCAAGGACGTGGTGCAGGAGTGGCCTCTCACAACGGTCAAGAGATGGGCAGCGTCGCCGAAGAGCTTCACTCTGGTAAAAACCCCTGGACTATTTTCATCACGTTCTCATTCAGACAAAAAAATCTGGTTTCAAACTGCTGCTTTCCTTTTACTTTGCTCACTTTGTTGCTACGGTGGCTGAGTGGGTAGCGCTAAGGCCTCACAGCAAGAAGGTTCATTATAGACTGGACTAGACTAGTTAATGAATGTGTTTCTGTGGAATTACACACAGAGTCTTGCTGTATTAAAACAATTATAAAATCTTAAATAGTTGTTTAACAAAAGTGGGCCAATATAGCGACGTGGCTAATGTATGTATTTTCTGAGGCGCAGGAAAGAGCACTGTGATCTATTGTCAAAATAATTGTGTGTTGCAGCCCTAAAATGTTTTCACTTCAAAGAACTTTCTCCAGCAAATATCTGTTTTAGGCCTCCTTGAATAATTATCTGTATCGGTCCTGAAAAAACCTTATCGGTCGACCGCCAGTAGATACTGATATATTAGCCAAATATCAACACTGATAATTGATGCAGTTGAAGCTCATACTCTCTCATTGTGTGATTCAGTACATTCAACATGGACTGTTTTGGTATAATGTGGTCAAAATGATTCTGAGGCTGTTAAATCTTTCTGGTGGTTGTCTTTGTATATGGTGCACGTAGCTACTGGGGAACAGGGGATTTCATTTTTTAACTCGGAATAATAAAAAAAATGGTCATCATTAAATTGTCATTAGTAATGATTTAATGTTGTGTTCACATTAACAATAATAAGAACGAATAATAATAGAAATGGGTTTTTTCTTCGAGAGCACTATTTAATTGGAAATAGTATCCAGTTTAGTGCAGTGACCCCGGGATTTGTTGCGCAGAAATCCTAATATCTGGAATAATTGCCGTGATGATTTTAAACGAATTGATATTTTTCATGTAATGTGTCATTAGTGGAGTTTGGGATTTTATGAAAAATCTTTGTGCGCAGGATTTTGGAGAGTATCAAGAGAGCTACTACTCTGTGCAAACCACTGAAGGGGAACAAATCTCTCAACTCATTGCCGGTTACATCGACATCATTCTAAAAAAGGTATCCAAGAAGATAAAATGGCGGCGAAAGAAAATGTTAACTATTCATAGTTTTTTAGCATTGCATTATTTTGTCCGTGTCTACATTTTCTGTAGAAACAAAGTAAGGACCGCTTTGGGTTGGAAGGAGACGAGGAGTCGACCATGCTGGAGGAGTCTGTGTCCCCAAAAAAGTATGTAAAGCTTCAATATATTTAAAGACAGTTTTTTTCTGATATTTCATTCATTACAGACAAAATGAGGGTAAAAAAATATAGGATTTAACCAAAACAAGCTCATGTGATTCTCTTCATACAGATGATTTGTTAGACATTGTTTGTTTGAAAATTAAAAAACACATTTCCAATTTCATTCTGCATTCATAATAGAATAATCTGGGTCTTTGGAAGGATTTATAAATTATTTGAATAATCAATTACTTACAAATAATCAATAGACTTGTTCCCTCCCTTCCCTGTTTCCCATCGCCCAAAACAAGCTTCTGTCTTCCAGAGGCTCCTCCACAAACACTTCTTGGCTGTTGTCCAGAGAGATGATCATGATGTGAAGACTTTTAACAGCTCTGGGCTCTAGTGAAGGCTCGATCTGAACATTTCCTGATTAGACGACTATTGGTTCATTAATCCTCTGGCCTTGTGTGCAACTCCAGACAATTTTCTTTTACTTTACTTCTTATTTTGGCTGTGCCTGAAGGCAAAAGTCTTTAATTCCACTGTCATGTTGTTAACTAAACAAGGGAAAGGAAAGCGGGGTTAGTTTGTCAGTAAGGTGCAGTGAAGAGGCTCAGCAAAACAAGTATTGTGTTTGGTCGTTTTGGTTCTAGACAAAGAGCTGGACTGAGTGCTTGTTAAAACATTTAGTTGTTTTTATGTATGTCTACTATTGAAGTTGCCATAGTGTTGTCACATTACTAAAATATAAAGTATATTTCAATACTAATACAAATATACATGTCCACAATACTAGTTCTGATAAACATCAATATTCAAAATCTGCTCAAAGAATCTCCTATTTTGTCCTATTTATTGTATTGACACTTTCTAAACTGAGTATTACTAGTTTTAGCATGGATTGATACTGATAAAGGTGCACCAATCAGGATATTTTATCATAGATGAAATGTAAATATATGTTTATAAATATTTTATGTTTCTATTTATTCAATATAAGACAGGGATATGTTATCTTTTTGTAGGCGCTTTTCATAACTATTATTTCAACCTATTCCATTGTGATTTCACTCTACACTCTTCACTTCATGCTTTAATTTTATTAGGCAAAAAAAAAGTTGGCATGGTTACTCACAGGGGTGGGTGTTGGGACTGAAGCGATGGGTCTTGATTCTCCTGTAACTTCCTCACATAGACACACAGTGAAACAGTCGGCTAACATATGCTGATTAGACAAAATCTGATTATCAATACTTTTGTTGTTGTAGCCATTTAATATGTTGCATGAGTCGATGATGTACGTCATGTTTTTCACAACGTGCTAATCTAAATGTTGTGCTTATGTGGTGTCAGGTCCACTATCTTACAGCAGCAGTTCAACCGCATGGGTCGAGCGGAGCACGGGTCTGTGGCTCTGCCGGGGGTCATTCGCTCGGGCTCCATTGGCACCGAGTGTCTGAGTGTGGGCTCCATGCCGTCAGCCCAGCAGCAGATCACCATGGGGCAGATGCACCGGGGTCACATGCCTCCACTGGTATGAAGACCTCCCACTATGTCTCTTTCCTAATCATGGCTGTAATTAATGTTGGCATTGAGATCAGCAGGATCTATAAATATGTGTGTTCTTTATAGAATACTTTATAGTACACTCCCTTTTGAATGTTGTCACCTGTTGAATGGTTAACCTAATATATTAATGATTATATAAAATGGGGACAAATGCAGGAGGCCTAACAAGGAAAACAACATCCTATAATGATTTCACTTGAACTTCTCCCCATTTTTAAGCTCTTGACATGCTTAATAATTCACATATTTTTATAATTTGTAGAGTTCAGCTCAGCAAGCACTAATGGGAACCATAAATACCAGCATGCAGGCTGTGCAAAAGGCCCAGATTGATCTTGGAGAAGTGGACAACCTGCCTCCTATTGGACAGGACATGGTAAGGAGCATATTCTACAGCTTTGAATGTCAAGTAAGAATACCCAATAAATATGTGTAATTTTTTTTTAAATATATATACAGGCTTCAAAAGTGTGGATTCAAAACAAGATGGATGAATCCAAACATGAGATCCACTCCCAGGTGGATGCCATCACCGCAGGAACAGCCTCAGTGGTCAACCTCACAGCTGGTCAGTTCTGAGGAGTTTGATTGAAGAAACATCACAAACTTGCATTTGCTCTGAATGTCTTCTGTTCCGTGCCCAGGTGATCCGACAGACACGGATTACACTGCTGTGGGGTGTGCCATCACCACCATCTCATCCAACCTGACGGAGATGTCCAAGGGAGTGAAGCTGCTCGCTGCGTTGATGGAGGATGAGGTGGGAGGAGGCAATGACCTGATGAAGGCTGCCCGGACCCTGGCTGGAGCCGTGTCCGACCTGCTGAAGGCTGTGGAGCCGGCTTCTGGAGAGGTGCGCTCATTCAAACCACATGTTTCAGTTAAACCAGAGCAGGAGTAGAAGGAAAACGCGTTAGACACTACTGTTTATTCACTTAAATAAAGCCATTTATTGTTGTTTGGATGAGCAGTTACAAAGCCATTTGTGATTATTTTTTATTCAAATGCAATAAATTACTCAGTGAATTTATGAATTTAACTATAATGCGAGTTGTGGGAGAGTGATTCATTTTCTTCATGTTGTTTGACGATGTGGGCCTGCAGCCAAGACAAACTGTACTGACAGCAGCAGGCAGCATCGGCCAGGCCAGTGGAGATCTTCTTCGGCAGATTGGAGAAAATGAGACGGACGAACGGTTCCAGGTAACGCTGAGTTACTTACCGTAGCTGTGCGTTTTTAGAGCACGTGTACTGATTAATATTTTACTGAGCCCTTTATTCTGTGTTGCAGGATGTGCTGATGAACCTGGCCAAAGCCGTGGCCAATGCAGCTGCAATGTTGGTGCTTAAAGCAAAGAACGTGGCTCAGGTTGCAGAGGACACGGTGCTTCAGAACCGGGTTATCGCTGCAGCCACACAATGTGCCCTCTCCACCTCTCAGCTGGTCGCCTGTGCAAAGGTACAGCTCTTATTCACGTGCTGCTAGAGTTCTATCCTTTCATGTTTTCATTAATGGCGAAGTGGCACGCTCTCTGCCAAAACAATTTCCAAGTGGTAACTTGTTTGTTACTTACGTGGCAATAAAAATTATTCTGAGTCTGATTCTGAGCCACAATTCTCTGCTGCAGATAAGACTAAACATGTGTTCCTCGATCAAAGTGCTCTGTAATGTATCTTTTAACTAGAATCTAGATGGATTGAGACGAGTTTGTTTTGAAGTCTGAAGCATAATTTATATTTTACATTAGATGAAGGAGATTCATTGGAGTTGAGCGAGATGCATACTAACAATTAGATACATTAATAAATTGGAGGTTATAATCTCCTCCAACATAATGGCCATACCTGAACGTGAAAGCCAGATCCCGTCAGACCTCTGAAGCTAAGCAGTGCAGGGTCTGGTTAGCAAGGCACATACCGGTTGCCTTGCTTCTGTCAGTGTGCCCCAGTGCAGCTGTGTATGGAGTGAAAGAATAATGATGTGAAGAGTCTTTGAATGTCCACAAATGAGCTATATAAAACAATACAATACTATTTATTCTTGTATAGACATAAATCACAACTGCAGTCATCTCAGAGGGCTTAACAAAACCATTGAAATCACCAACACAGATCAGAGAATCAACAGTCAAGACACAAAAAAAGAATATGGAACACATGTTGATAAATGTCCATATATATTGTAGAATGTTAAAGTGTCCTGGATCATCACCACAGTCCATGTTAGACACCAAGTGTCCAACAGACCCTCCTGCATCGGCAAGGAAAAACTGCAAGAGGCATAGACACAGGTCTGATAATTATTATAATCACTTTCCCTGTTGTTCAGGTGGTGAGCCCCACTATCAGTTCGCCCGTGTGTCAGGAGCAACTGATTGAAGCTGGAAAGTTGGTCGACCGCTCGGTGGAGAGCTGTGTCCAAGCGTGTCTTTCAGCCACTGAAGATGGAGACCTCCTCAAACAGGTGATTGTGTTTTCTACTCGTTCGTTCTACCTGTTCGGTGAAGAATCCCTGAGAATGACCCAGTGTTCTGTGGTGAAGGTGAGCGCTGCAGCGAGTGTGGTGGGCCAGTCGCTGGCAGATCTGCTGCAGCATGTGCGTCAGTACACGTCCAGAGGAGAGCCCATTGGCCGCTACGACCAGGCCACCGACACCATCATGTCTGTGACAGAGAACATCTTCAGCTCCATGGGAGATGCAGGTGAGGGCAAACAAAGAACGGCTCTTCTACAGGGTGCGTTTATTTTTTTGCAGGACAGTTGGAAATTCAGGGAATTGGGAAATTCAGCTTTATATGAAAGAAATTTTAAAATGGAAAAGGTCCAAATGTTATCCCAGATCACTCTTGTTTCATGTGGATTGGCCCAAACCCAAGACTAGAAATCAGGTTTTTGGCAGTTGCCATAGTTACCAGTATATTTTCCTGCAGCCCTTCACCACAAATTTAAACAATATTCTCTTTGTAATGTTGTAATGTCACATAAACATAACACATTAGATTCATTGGCTTTTTCTCACACTGTACTAATTGTGGAGACCTTTATTTCAGTATTTGTATATTTTCATTGTATTTATTCAGTGAGTTTCTGTGAAGACATATACATAAATGGCCATGTTTCCTCCCATGATGTGCCCAGGGGAGATGGTGCGGCAGGCCCGTGTCTTGGCTCAGGCCACGTCAGACCTGGTCAATGCCATGAGGTCCGACGCGGAGGCTGAGGTGGATGTGGATAACTCCAAGAAGCTGCTGGCTGCTGCTAAACTTCTGGCTGATGCAACTGCGCGTATGGTGGAGGCTGCAAAAGTAAGAGCTGATATTCACGCAGGATATTTATAGAAGGTGTTAGATTACAGCTGTGCCGGTTTTGCTGCCGGGAGTCTGGTTCAGTAGTGATGATATGTGCTCATTTAAACCTACTTTTTTATTTTCTTATTCAGTAAAATGTTATTGTCTGTTAATTCTGTAAACACACATGGTCCAGTACCATGTGTTACTCTCTGACATGATGGTGTCTTTCCAACCTTCAGAGATCAGTCATAATAAGCTAACAATTGAGAAATCGCATAAGTAGAGAACTTCCTGTTTCTCTGATCTGTATTTAGATAAAGAGTGTTTTATTCTCACAGTGCCTGATCTATTTTTAACATAAAAGCTGATTTTATTAATAATAAAATTGGGAACATGTTGGTCAAATAGTATCATTGCCTGCTCTTTTCAGCCACTTTGTATTAGTGGATACATTCTTTTCACATTCACTCCTTATAGACTGTACGTAAATGTCCTGACAATAGTGCTCTATAATGTACTCTAAGAACAGGTACATTTCAGAGGAAATACTGTATAATCTAGTGACTGTAAGAGAGCGGTGCATATAACAAACAGAAGGGATCAAATGAGCACTCAAAAGAAGATGATTAAGATGACAGAAATAAGAAAAAAGTCAAATCTTTAATCTCAAATATTTTGGTTTTAAACGGTGGAAGAAGTCTGTGATTAGAAGTGGGTGAGTTCCAGACTAGTATGTACAGTGATGGATGCCATGTTAGCAGAAGTACCTTAACAGTAAGGTGCTTATAATAGACCTTTACACTAAAACAATGCATTTATTTCTGTAGAGGTGTAGTAGTTCTGTTCATTAACCTAAAAACACTTTGCACTCTCTACCCAAATGCATGACTCACAACGGAAAGTGATGTTTGCTTCCAGCCTATAACTTAAAGTGGAATTAATTTGACACACATGTTGTTTGCTGCTGAGGTCTACGTTTTTATGATATAATTTAGTTTGGTAATGATTGATTTAAACACAGACCATTGTATAACACACATTTTAAGAGGTGTCTGAATGTGTATCAAATGGTGAATAAAAAGGGTGATTTGCTGGTTACAGGGGGCTGCAGCCTACCCAGAGAATGAAGACCAGCAGCAGCGGCTGAGGGAGGCGGCTGAGGGGCTGCGCGTTGCCACTAATGCTGCTGCTCAGAACGCCATCAAGAAAAAACTCATTAACAGACTAGAGGTCCGTCAAGTTTCAGAACATGTTGGCATTCTTGGGTAGTTTCACTTTATATTCAAGACTCTGACACATTGGTACAATTTGTATTTGTGTTTATTAAAATCTTTAGAATGCAGCAAAGCAAGCAGCCGCCGCTGCCACACAGACCATTGCTGCTGCTCAAAATGCAGCTGCCTCCAACAAGAACACCGCAGCTCACCAGCAGCTGGTGCAGAGCTGCAAGGTGAGTCGTGGAATCCATGTGTTTGAACACGCAATCTATCTCAACACGGATCCTTTGACCTGTATTGGTAATATTTTTTTGATGTTTAGGCTGTTGCAGATCACATACCACAGCTGGTTCAGGGCGTGCGTGGAAGTCAAGCTAAACCAGAAGATCTCAGTGCTCAACTGGCCCTCATCATTGCCAGTCAAAACTTCCTACAGGTGTGCTGTTCTTCAGTATAACTTGATTATACTCCTACTTTGTAAATGTCTCACTCGAAACGAATGATTCTGAATCTTGATTCTCTCCAAACTTGTTGTGTACATGTTTGATGTCTGTTTTTTAAGCTCACATTTCATTAATACTTCTTACAGCCTGGAAGTAAGATGGTGACGTCAGCAAAGTCCTCCGTTCCCACAGTGACCGATCAGGCTGCAGCCATGCAGCTGGGTCAGTGTGCCAAGAACCTGGCCACCTGTCTGGCAGAGCTGAGGACTTCTGCTCAGAAGGTAAACAAGAAAAGTGACTCATGCCCTGGGTCATTTTGAATAAGCACCAACCATTCTTTAGTCAGGTCCTTGCGTTTGTCCACTTTGTCTAAGATACCTTTATGTTTGTGTTGTCTGCGTTTATTTAATGCACAATAAGAGAGCAGTCTTTATGATTAAATTACAGGCTCATGAAGCCTGTGGTCCTATGGAGATCGACTCTGCCCTCGATGCCATTCAGACTCTACATAACGAGCTGCAAGACGCCAGGATGGCCTGTAGTAGTGACCAGCTTAAACCGCTTCCGGGTGAATCGGTACAATTTTTTTTTCTGTTTCTTTAAGCTCAACATTTTTGTTTTTATTTACTCTTAAACTGTGTTTTTAACTTCAGTTGGAGAAATGTGCTCAGGATCTGGGCAGCACCTCAAAGTCAGTTGGTTCTTCTATGGCCCAACTGTTGACCTGTGCAGCCCAAGGAAATGAGCATTACACTGGTAAGAGAGGCTTATTGTTCAAATGTTCATAGCTTTATTCTTCTAAAAGTTGAGCGAAGGTGCTTCTCCGAGACAACAGGTCGGACTCAGGGCCAGATATACCTCATTAGCCTGGTCTGACTTGCTCTCATCATCATTTAAATGACCTTGCATTGTTGAAAGTGTTGGTCTTGCCGTACTAAACTACCATTTTGTAATAAGGCATAGCAGCCAGAGAAACGGCTCAGGCCTTGAAGACGCTCGCACAGGCGGCCCGTGGTGTCGCTGCTTCCTCCTTAGACCCCAAGGCCGCAGTTGCCATGTTGGATTCTGCTCGAGATGTTATGGAGGGTTCCGCCCTCCTCATTCAGGAAGCTAAGGAGGCACTTGCTTCACATGGAGATGCAGAGAGTCAGCAGCGACTGGCCCAGGTTGGTTTTATACTGTGTTGTCTGGATGTAGATGGTATAGATTCTTGTACCGAAATTGTTTTTACTCATATTTACAGGTGGCCAAAGCTGTGTCCCACTCTTTGAACAACTGTGTGAACTGCCTGCCTGGTCAGAAAGATGTAGATATGGCTCTCAAAAGTATTGGAGAAGCTAGCAAGAAGTTGCTCATTGAAACGGTAAATGATTCAGAAATAAATGCATTATATTTAATTAAATGTTTAATAATAAGATACATACATTTCTTGTTACCTACAGATTCCACCTGCTTCCAAGTCCTTCCAGGATGCCCAGAGTGACCTGAACCAGACGGCAGCCGACCTGAACCAGTCCGCCGGGGAGGTGGTGTATGCCTCCAGAGGCTCCAGCGGACAACTGGCCGAAGCATCCGGGAAGTTCAGCCAAGACTTTGATGAGTTCTTGGACGCGGGCATTGAGATGGCTGGTCACACTCAGGTAGCTCACCGTACAATATACTCAATCCATGAAACCTATTTACCTTTGGGGTAATTGAGACTTTTTTCAATTGACAAAAATGGCAGAAAAAGGATGACCAAGTACAAGTGATTGGGAACTTAAAGAACATATCCATGGCATCCAGTAAGCTGCTTCTGGCTGCTAAAAGTCTGTCTGTGGATCCTGCAGCTGCAAATGCCAAAAACCTGTTGGCAGCTGCAGCAAGGTATTGAATATGATCTATTATTTCACAGTACTTTTAGTGTAATAGAATCACATAACTGAGAATTTGTTTTACTTTCAGGGCAGTCACTGATAGCATCAACCAGCTGATTACACTCTGCACTCAGCAGGGTCCTGGGCAAAAGGAGTGTGACAATGCTTTAAGAGAGTTAGAGGTGAAAAGACTTCCATTACAAGCTCCATGTTGAACTGCAAACTGTGATGCCATCACAAACTCTGCTTCTCTCTCAGGCTGTCAGGGGGATGCTGGACAACCCCAATGAGCCAGTCAGTGACCTGTCCTACTTTGACTGCATTGAAAGTGTCATGGAGAATTCCAAGGTAAATGGAGCAGACTGGTGCCTTCCTCAGTCTGGGCATCAGACTTCACAGTGTCTGTCTCTAGGTCCTTGGAGAGTCTATGGCCGGTATTTCTCAGAACTGCAAGACTGGTGATGTGCTTTCATTTGGAGATTGTGTTGGATCAGCCTCAAAAGCGCTGTGTGGCCTCACTGAAGCTGCAGGACAGGTGAACCTTTTTATAATCTGACATGTTTGCCCCTTTAGAATGATGTGGTAACTGAAGTTAATTTCCTAAAGGCGTCCTACCTCGTTGGCGTGTCCGATCCCAACAGTCAGGCTGGGCATCAGGGACTTGTGGATCCAATTCAGTTTGCTAAAGCCAACCAGGCTATTCAGATGGCCTGCCAGAATCTGGTGGACCCAGATAGCAGTCCATCCCAGGTACTGAGTTTAAAACACAGAAACATCACAGATAAAAGGTAACAAACATTGATCCTTTACATTTGTCTCTTCTAGGTTCTCTCAGCTGCCACTATAGTTGCCAAGCACACATCAGCTTTGTGTAATGCTTGTCGTCTGGCTTCATCAAAGACAACCAACCCGGTTGCCAAAAGGCACTTTGTCCAGTCAGCCAAGGAGGTGGCCAACAGCACAGCTAACCTCGTAAAGACCATCAAGGTATACTTTGATCAAATGTATGTGTCAAGTTTTTGATTGACTCATAAACAAAAGGTTTGAAAAATGATCAGACGTTTCATCTATAGACATTTAATTTTGATGAAGGATTACTTTTTACTTTTGTTTGATTCATATGTGTAAGAATGTTTACTTTGTTGTTATTTCCAGGCGTTGGATGGCGATTTCTCTGAGGAGAACAGGAGCAGGTGTCGTGTTGCCACTACTCCGCTCATTGAAGCTGTAGAAAACCTAACCACATTTGCTTCCAACCCGGAGTTTGCCAGTGTCCCTGCTCGGATCAGTAAAGAGGTATGACTGCAGCTGTGTGGACACGACTCCTAGTGAGAATCTCATGTTCTGTCTGAATGCTCTGTAGGGCTCTGCGGCTCAGGAGCCCATCCTGCAGTCAGCTCGCTCCATGCTGGACAGCTCAACTCATCTGCTGAAGACTGCTCGTTCTTTAGTCATGAACCCTAAAGATCCTCCCACATGGTCTGTTCTGGCGGGCCATTCCCGCACTGTGTCAGACTCCATCAAAGGCCTCATTACAGCCATTCGGTTTGTACATGCTGATTATTAAGTGGTTTTCAAAAGGCACTTTTTTTTTGTCTTCTATTACAGTTTTTAGCATTTGTATTAGCAAATGTTTGGGGTATTTTGATCATTTCTTCTAAAGCCGGCACTACAAAATGCCAATGCCCAGGTATCCATTACTTTGAATAATAATCATTTTTTTCATTTACTAACTGATCTAATCTTTATAGAATAATGAGTTTTCCTGAAGGCAAAGCTGGTAAAAGACGTGTGCGACTGGTGTAATAGTCTGTGCTGAGTGCATCATGCCAGGTTTTACATGTTGCTTAGCAACCAGACCAGATCGTGCATCAGCCTGTTTATCCATCATTCTCTCGCATCATGAAGAATCTTATTATCTTTATCTTGTACTGTACGTGTCCATGTACGTGTATCCATTACTTACTCTGAGGAAGATAGAAGTATACTGTCGAAAGATGTCAAGGCAATAACATCGCTAACTTACTATTATAGAAGAACCAAATAAACTTATTCTACTAAGAAGACGAGATAAGCCATCCTAAACCTTCATAGTTTATACTTGGAAGATCAGTCTGCTTAGTACCTTTCCTGAATGAAGTAGTGTTCAACATTGTCTGAGTGAATGCCCCTGCCAAAGATGTGACCTCACACTGTTCTATCTGTAAACTACGTGAATATTATCCATAAGTCTTAAACTGGACTCCTGTGCAGAGAATTGTTGTTTCTTTGCCTTAATCTTCCACAGGATTCTTGTTGGAGAATCTGATGTGTGCTTTGACTTTGTCTTCTTGGATCCATGCAGCTGACCCATATAAGAAACATCCTTGACTTAGATATGACATGGCTTATTTAACTTTGAAATGTAACTTTGAAAATAATGTTTATTAATTTGAATGTCCTTTGAAATTTACCGAGGCTTTAAATCCAATTTTGTGGCCCACCTTGGTCTTTTTTCTGAGCTCAACCTCGCAGGTTATTTCAGCAGATGAAAGCAGTGAAATGAGAAACCATTTGAAGAGGGGTCATATAAGGAAAACCTTGTCTGCAGCTCATCTGCCTCTTCCTGTGTCAACATTTACTTCTCCTGACTTTCTCTTCTCTGCTTTTCAAATGTTTTCTTCCTCTGCTAATACTGTAGTTTTCTCCTCTTCCTGTTCTTCGTTTATTCTCAGGGACAAAGCCCCCGGCCAGCGGGAGTGTGACTCCTCCATAGATAACATCAACAAATGTATCCGGGACATAGAGCAGGCCTCTCTGGCAGCCGTCAGCCAGAACCTGCTCTGCAGAGACGACATCTCACTGGAGGTACGACTGGCCATGCGCTTTAGAACGATGACAACTCTCACATGCTCAACATGATAGTGAAAGTAATAAATATACAATATCTTACCAAAAACCTTGTTTTACTGGTACGTTTTTATAGAGCTATTAATTAGCTTTGAGGCTGTGTCACTTTTGAAATTTGCTGAAATACAGCTGTAATTTGTCAAACCTGAATGTCAATGAATTGTTCCAATAGATTAATACAATCTTTGTAATTGAAATTGATGTTTCTTTTTCAAACAGCTTTTTTTTTTTTAAATAGCAGTTTTTTCTTGCTCAACATCGCAGCTTCCTCCACTTTTCACTATGATTTTACCTTTTGTATAACAGCAACAGCCAAATGGATTTTTGTCTGCCGCTTTCCCCAGGCTCTCCAGGAACAGCTCACATCCACCGTGCAGGAAATTGGCCACTTAATTGACCCCGTTTCCACAGCAGCCAAAGGCGAAGCTTCTCAACTAGGACACAAGGTAAAATCTATTTTCTTTAATGTGTTGTGACAAAATGAAAATGTGCAGGTCCCATAATGGGACATCTACAAAACAACAGTGTAATAAACAAAATGAAAATCCAATTCTACATTTATATTCCATCATTTATGTAATGTAATTGGGTTTAAATAAAAGGGAAATCATACACTTGATATAATGCAGTTGTTTCCTTGTCTCAGGTGACCCAGTTGGCGGGTTACTTCGACCCCCTCATAGCAGCTTGTGTGGGGCTGGCCTCTAAACTCAAAGACCACCAACAGCAGATGACTTTTCTCGATCAAACAAAGACCTTAGCCGAGTCTGCTCTTCAGATGCTCTATGCCGCGAAGGAGGGAGGAGGGAACCCAAAGGTAAGATCTCACCCAGAAGTGTTCAATCTCCTAGTTTGATCTCCCTGTGGGTCACTCAATGGCTTTTGTAAGTGAGGGGAGTCGGCCACGAACATTTCGCACCTATGAAGGACATCTGCGCTTGAACTTGTTAGATGACGTGAGGTTTGACTGTAGGCAGCAGCGATGCGTTTTGGTGTTTTGTGAACACACCTGTCTGGTAAACTCAAAGATAAACGCCATCCATTCCCGTTCAGCATCAGCCAGGCCTCTGTGACCTCTGTGACCTCTGAGGTCTCTGTGACCTCTGTGACATCTGTGACCTCTGAGGTCTCTGCGGCCTTTGAATGCAAAGTGTGCACGCAGAGTCCAGTAAAACCAACTGGCATTTCTGATCGCTGCAATAAGGCCTGATTGTGGCTTTTTCTGTCTGTGTTACAGTATATCATATCCACCCTCTCTCCTCCTCAACTCAACCTAAAAACCTGCAGCAAAAATAACTTAATATGATCACAAACGTGTTTATTGCAAACATGTGGTTTTCTCTTGGATTATTGGTGTTTGTAATGTACCTTTGCAGCCACCTCTGCACCTGAAGCAGTAGAAAATAGCACTAGTAATCTTAAATTGTACTAATGTTAAGCATCTACTGGATGTAACTTAGGGATTATGTTCATTAATTCTTTTAAGCAGTGTAGTTTAGATGGTACAATTTACATTTATTTGTTTTTAATATAAATACAAAGTTTTTGTCAAGTCAGTTTTTTAAAGGAGCTGCAATGATTACATTTCTCCACCAGATTTCTAGCCAAACTGATGTTCACGTTTCGAAACAGTTATGATACAATAGCAAGAAGAGCCTCAGTGCTTCACATGGCTCCATAACTCCATCACTACAAAAGCCCATCTGTTTTTGCATGGGGACTGATGATTTGCTATTGCAAAACCGAGTTAAAACTGAGATAGACTTATTGTCGTGGTTGCCAGGAAAGTGGATTTTGGTTAGATCGGATCTACCCCAGGTCTAAAAACAGTTTGAAACTTCAAAGACCCATATCATAAGTCTAATATTGAGTGCATGCACTTGTTTGACCTTCAGGCAGTCCACACGCATGACGCCATAGCAGAGGCCACACAATTGATGAAGGAGGCCGTGGATGACATCATGGTGACTCTGAACGAAGCTGCCAGTGAAGTGGGATTAGTCGGAGGAATGGTGGAGTCTATTGCAGATGCAATGGCCAAGGTGAGTGTTAAAAAGTTGATAGTTCTTATCATCCATATCACAGATGTAAGAATATCATCATTTATTGTATTAACTCCCCAGCTTGATGAAGGTACTCCTCCTGAACCCGAAGGCTCTTTTGTGGATTATCAGACAAGCTCTGTGAGATATTCAAAGGCTATAGCTGTAACAGCCCAAGAAATGGTACGTCTTATAATGTCGGCAGGAAACTCCTGTCTATATTTCTGCATTAAAGTAGGATATATATTTTCCTTTAATAAGAATATTCTAACTTTGTGTGTGCATTAATCAGATGACAAAATCTGTGACAAGTCCGGATGATTTGGGAGCCCTGGCCTCTCAAGTGACCGTGGACTACAGCCAGCTGGCTGTTCAGGGCCGACTCGCTGCTTACACAGCAGAGCCAGAAGAGGTGAGATGTCAAATTATGTCAAAGGAGATGGTGTTGTTTTATTTCAAAATCAAAATCATTTCTGATCATGTCTTGTGCTTAGATTGGGTTTCAGATAAAGACTCGCGTTCAAGACCTAGGACATGGTTGCATCTACCTGGTCCAGAAAGCAGGATCCTTACAAATCACTCCATCTGACAGTTTTACCAAGAGGGAACTTATAGAATGTGCTCGAGCAGTCACTGAAAAGGTGACTTTTCTTCTCTCTCTCTGTGTGTGTGTGTGTGTGTGTGTGTGTGTGTGTGTGTGTGTGTGTGTGTGTGTGTGTGTGTGTGTGTGTGTGTGTGTGTGTGTGTGTGTGTGTGTGTGTGTGTGTGTGTGTGTGTGTGTGTGTGTGTGTGTGTGTGTGTGTGTGTGTGTGTGTGTGTGTGTGTGTGTGTGTGTGTGTGTGTGTGTATTATTTGAATAATTGGAGGTAAGTGGAGGGTTTCCTCTCCACATTCTTATTCTCCTATATTTAGGGTTAGAATTTACAGATTTTCTTTACAGATATCTTGGGTTAGTGTTGGCTTTAATAGGTGCATGTTGTGCTTGCAGGTATCATTAGTGCTTTCAGCCCTTCAAGCAGGAAACAAGGGCACACAAGCCTGCATCACTGCAGCCAGTGCTGTGTCTGGGATTATAGCCGACCTGGACACAACCATTATGTTTGCTTCTGCAGGCACGCTCAATGCAGAGAACGAGGAGTCTTTTGCTGATCACAGGTGAGTCCTACTGTAATAATGGCGTAGTGTCCACAACCTGACCCTGGTCAATTCAAAACTTTTCAAAACTGATTTTCATCTTTTCATCCAGAGAAAACATTTTGAAGACAGCCAAAGCTCTAGTTGAGGACACAAAGATGCTGGTGTCTGGTGCTGCCTCTGGACAGGACAAGTTGGCACAAGCTGCTCAGTCCTCGGCCAAAACCATTACACAGCTCACGGATGTGGTTAAACTGGGAGCAGCGAGCATTGGTTCAGACGACCCAGAGACTCAGGTCCTTAGCATTCAAGTAAACAAGTTGTGCCCATGGGGGTTTAGTTGGTCTATAATTATTCTATATATGCTGTCAGTTTTATTTACTTCATAATTTAACACATGCTTGATTTTAGGTTGTTCTGATAAATGCTGTGAAAGATGTTGCAAAAGCTTTGGCTGAGCTCATTAGTGCCACCAAGTGTGCGGCGGGGAAAGCAGCCGATGATCCCTCTATGTATCAGCTCAAGAGTGCAGCTAAGGTGAGCCAAGAAACACTCACAATCTTTTCTTAAATGGGTAAATATTTTGGATATTGCATTGAACTCAAGCAAATATATACATATATAAAATACTCTTTTAGTTTAAATCGGACTGCCATTTACAATAGACAATACAATTAATAGAACAATCTTTTTGTGTAATTTAGTTTTGAAACATGATATATGTACTTTACATGATTGCCTTTAATAGAACGAATTGCTAAAAATAAGTTTAAGTTTAAGTTCTGCGACCCCCACATTGGGAACCACTGATTAAGTTCATTTAAACTGTAAAACACTTTTTAGTTTGAAAATAGCTGATCTAAAGATGTAGCAGCGTCATGCATGTGAAACTAGTGATAGAACCGAACAGGGATTTTAGTACAAAGTTTAAGATAACTTTTTGTTTTTAAAAGTGGGTACCTCAGCTTGGACAATATTTTTTTTATAAATGTGTTTCTTTCTTCTGTGCGTAGGTCATGGTGACTAATGTGACGTCTCTTCTGAAAACGGTGAAAGCTGTAGAAGATGAGGCGACCCGCGGAACCAGGGCCCTGGAGGCCACCATAGAGTGCATTAAACAAGAGCTGGGGGTGAGGAGAAACAATGGAAACAATGTCCAGGAAAAAGCATGCAGCTATAACATAGTTTTATTTTATAGGTGTTTCAATCTAAAGACGCTCCTAATAAGACCACCACTCCTGAAGAATTTATCCGCATGACTAAGGGCATTACTATGGCAACCGCTAAAGCTGTGGCCGCTGGGAACTCAGGTCGACAGGAAGACATCATCCACACCGCCAACCTCAGCCGCAAGGCCATCTCCGACATGCTGACCACCTGCAAGGTTCTTCAGTTTATATTGATGTTGATTTTCTAGTAAATGATGTTGTTTATGCCTAGTTTGATATGAATGTGACGAGGGAATGAATGCATGGCGTTGGTTCCATCATCACCGTGTGGAGAGAATGGAAACAAATCTGAACTCTGAACATTGTAAAGTGCTTTGGGAGACTTTGGCTTGTAAAATGTGCATATTTAAATAAACTTACTTACTAGTTTTTCCAAATGCCATAATCCTATATTTACAGCAAGCGGCGTACAGCCCAGAGGTCAGTGAGGAGGTAAAGAGGAGAGCCTTGACGTTTGGAAGCGAGTGTACAACAGGATACATCGACCTGTTAGAACAGGTGCTATTGGTAAGATGAAAAGAGACATTGACAGAACATGCGTCTCTGTTGTAATGTAATGCACATATGTTGTATCACAATCCTTAGGTCCTGCTGAAGCCCACAGCAGATCAAAAGCAACAGCTGGCCGTCTGCTCCAAGCGAGTCGCGGGGGCGGTCACAGAACTTATCCAAACAGCAGAGGCCATGAAAGGTTAGATTAACAGTATAACTAGCCAAGATAAGAACGTGTTTATTTGTGAAGAAATGTCATTGTTGTAGCGCACAGAACAGTTCGGACACAAGGACCACTCCAAAGTATAGCTGAAGTATGAAACTATAATTACAGTAAAGTACATTTGAGTTGCATTTGTGTTTTTTTTTTTTTAAACAAAGGTTCAGCGTTTCTCAGTTTACTTTCAATGTAACTGTGGACAGGAAATGTGAAAAGTATAATGATGCTACGAGTTTGTGTTGGTAGTTGATGGAAATTACAGTACATTTATTGGGTTATATTTGTGTCCTCCTTTTTTGCCACAGACGGAGGTAAGTGAATAATTATAAAATCTGTCATTTGTAAATCCAAGCACATTATTTCATCCACATTGTGAATATCACTCCTATTGCTTTGTTTCATCTGACACTGATTAACAATCCATTTTCAATCAAATTTGAAGTGAATTGCAGTGTTCTCACAAGTTATGCATGGATTTGATTCATTTATGCACTTTTGTCTGTGGGCTGTTTATTTTTGTTAGCATGACCCACTGATTTGTATGTTTGATACACTTCCATGTAATATGATATGTTTTCATTCATTCAGGGTCGGAGTGGGTGGACCCTGAGGATCCCACTGTGATTGCAGAAACAGAGTTGCTCGGAGCAGCTGCATCCATTGAAGCTGCAGCGAAGAAGCTGGAGCAGCTCAAACCACGAGCTAAGCCAAAGGTATGTGACGCTTTCACTAATGATCCAAGACATGTGACAGTAGAAACATGGTGTTTGACTTTGTGGGCCTTCTCACACTGCACTTACTGAGTGTTTGCTGGCAGCTCTGCAGAAAGCTTGTCTCATGTGTTCTCCCTTTTGTTCAGACACATTCCCATCAGCCCCAGTGTTTTAATGCATTAATCCCAACCCCCTCCCTCCCCTCCTGCCCCACCACCGGCGGCCTTCTCTGCAGGGCTCTGTCTGATATGTTTGATATATTAGGTTGTTAATCAGTCCCAACTATATATCAAACATATTCCTACAGTGTCCCGCTCTGTCTACAGACGTTTGCTCTGTGTCCTTGTTTGCACTTGTGTTAGATAGTGATTCAGTTATAAACACTGTGTTTTAAACAGCTAGTTTAAATATTCTGTTTTTTTATTGTCTGTGCATCTGCTTTTCTTTCTCTTTTAGCAAGCAGACGAGTCTTTAAACTTTGAAGAACAGATTCTGGAGGCTGCAAAGTCCATTGCTGCAGCTACAAGTGCCCTTGTCAAGTCTGCTTCAGCTGCCCAGAGAGAGCTGGTGGCTCAGGGTAAAGTTGGCTCGATCCCCGCCAACGCTGTGGATGATGGACAGTGGTCTCAAGGCCTGATTTCTGCTGTAAGTGTCCTTTTATGATTGTGAATTTTACACTTTAGTGCTGTGTAATATCTTGGGCCCCATATATAAGCTAAAAAAAAATTCATGGATATCCCATTTACAAATATGCAATGTCTCTAATTATTAAATGAATCATACATGTTTTTATTTTGTATTTGTAATAAACTGAGCTGAACTGATGTCGACTTTCACTCTGTATAGGCTCGCATGGTGGCAGCAGCAACAAGCAACTTGTGTGAAGCTGCAAATGCGTCCGTGCAAGGCCAGGCCAGCGAGGAGAAACTCATCTCCTCAGCCAAACAGGTGGCGGCCTCCACTGCCCAGCTGCTGGTCGCCTGTAAGGTCAAAGCCGACCAGGACTCTGAGGCCATGCGCAGACTACAGGTTGGATAATCCAGCTGCATTTCAAACTTTCACACCAGTTTCATATACAATCTCTGAATGTCAGTTCTAAACACAAGTACCCTCTCCTCAGATTGCTGGAAATGCTGTTAAAAAAGCTTCAGACAATTTGGTGAGAGCAGCCCAGAAAGCTGCTTTTGACAAGGCAGATGAAGACAATGTGGTCGTCAAGACAAAGTTTGTGGGTGGAATAGCACAGGTAATGTTGTTGTGTGCACCATTATTTTGTTCATGTGGCTAGATTAGCAATGTCCACTTAATTCATTAAAGTATAATTATGATTTCATTGATCTTTCAGATTATTGCTGCTCAGGAGGAAATGCTTCGGAAAGAGAGGGAACTTGAAGAGGCAAGAAAGAAACTAGCCCAGATCCGACAGCAGCAGTACAAGTTCCTGCCCAGTGAGCTCCGGGAGGATGCGGACTAAAGCTCCTGCAGCTGGTGCTGAATTGAAGAAGCACATTTGTGTCTTTGTACAACCAGAGTTGTACTCCCTGTACACGAACACAACCGAACACTACAAAAATCTCTATTTTAACACCGCATACTGAGCCCCTAAACAACATTACGACTTACAAGACTTAAGCTCAAGACAAAAGTGATTGTTTAAAGCAAAACTACACTTTGACTGATGCAATCTCAACCCGAATGTGACGGTCCTGGGACAGACCCTTACGACACCTGTGCCCACGCGTTTGTCCTTGAGCCACTCTCTTACTGTTGCAGCTGTAATTTCTAACCTGAAAATGAAGAAGTGATTGTAAAGCGAATGTCGTGCAAGTCGTTCCACTGCATCTGCTCGGTACTGTTCTAGAATGAATGTCAGCTCTCGTCACACTCACCGTTTAGCACCTTAATTCAGTCACAATTTTTATCTTTATGAGTAACCCTGATATAAAGTCAGCTTATTTTTATATCCGTGTTACTTGAACCAGTGTGCGGAATCTGCTGGGCAAGCGGCGATTATACTTTTACCTCCTGATATAACATTGACCTGAGTTTGTCTTATGCTTTTTCCTAGATAACAAGACATTACTATATATTGTTTTCAGATATTTTAAGTGTCCGTGTGGGACGCCAAAGCTACTATTTGAAGGAATATTTATTTCATTTAAGAAATCTTCAGAATAAATATTTTGTGTACCATTTTTACTGCATAGACCTATCAAATCACCGACGAGGCTGTTGCGTTGTACCAAAAGATAGTGACGCAATAACTTAATGGTGCATAAGGGGGCGACATTGTGTACCCCATGCATGGAACCGCATGAAATGACTGGTAGTTCTATGGAAAAATAACACTATCAAACTGTTTTATGTTGATGCTCGTGTCTACTTACTGAAAACTACCGTAACGTGCAAGCAATATTCATCAACTCAAACAATAATTTGACCTAAAATAACTTCTAATCAAATTAAATATTAAATCATACGAGCAATGAGTTGACACAAAATTTAAATAAAATCATTTCAATGCAAAACTATCCATTAGATCATTGTGGATGTTCAGAGTATCTCACACAATCTCTTAAAGTGTCAGCTGCATTTCTGTGCAATAGATTTTTTTACTTTAGAGATGTCGCTGTAGGAGGATACAATGGTCTACTTTGTCTTACATTCTTGTCAACCTTTAAACAGGAAACTGGCTCCTGCGATGAAAAATATGCATGTTTTTTTTCTAACATTTACAATTTCAAAATCTCAAAAAGAACACTTATCCACGATCCACCGTATTCAAACTCTGTGGTTATTACATTTGTGTGTAATATATTGAGTGTGGGGATTGTACTGTAGTGGTGTTCTTATTAGTGCCTTTAGTCACACGGCGTCCGGACCTCATCTCAACAATGGATGTCTGGTCCCTTTTTGTTCCTCAAAGTGCTTAAAGCCTCAAGTTTTTAAATACAATTCCCGTTTGTTTTTGTGGGAATGGTGGAGGTTTGTCAGTAACAAAATGTGTTGCTATTTCGGAAGTACCAAAACTTCTGAGGATATTGTTGACACAGGTTTGTTCTGCCTTGCCCTGGCATGCACCATAGTGTCTGCTCTTTGTGACAGCCGGGGGATTCTGTCACCTGCTTCATGAAGTCCATTCTAAAGTCAGTTTCCGAATGGGCTTTTCCTGATCTTAAGCCTTTAGATGTGACGAGAATATTTTAATAAATGTGTACAACTGTTACAAAGTTGTGGTACATTTCAAGAGTAAGTGAAGTGTTCTATTCTCTTAATGTATACATCATACAGGTATGAAGTACAACAATAAGTGAAATGTTTAGCTTAAATTATATTTATCTGGCTTGTGTAAAACTATTTTTTTGTATTCGCTGAAAATAAAGCATTTCATTGTAACATTTTGTTGCTTGTGTTTTTGTTTCTGCAGCAGTTTCAGTGTTATAAATATCACTCTAGTGTATGTTACCTTCATCTTGTCACTGTGGAACTACAACTGATATATAGAGGTTAAAGTTACATTAGTTGTACATAGGTTAAAGCTGAGGTACCTAACTTTCAAACCACAATGAATTGAAGGATATAAAATAATTGGAGTCTCGTTTTCACATATATTGTTTGATCTCCGTTACATCTTTAGATCAGCACTTTCAGAGAGAAAAGTTTAAAAAGTTCAAACTTCACTTTGCCAATCAACAAAAAAGATGTATGTTTATGATTTCACTTTATTGTCCATGAAGGTAAATTAGTCTTGGGTTCACAGTGCATAGAACACAAACAAGACACTCAATTCTCAATCTGCACAATTTCAACAGAAAAATATAGCTATGTCGTAATATTGCACCATCTTATTAAAGAACAGCAGCAAAAAGTGCCAAAATACGGAGCATACCGACATAAGATCGCAGTCAAAACACAAACTATAAACAACAAGATAAGGAAACATTGCACATGCCCTTACAAAGTACGTACCATATTTCACATTGTACTAAACGTAACGCATCTTTGGAAAATATAATTATTATTTATATAACGCATACAATTTTGGTGTAACTGTATTTATTTTTCTTTCACCCCACACGTTCATGACAGGAGCAAGACGCCGAACACACCCCCTAACTATCACAGCCGTTCACTCTATCATTACAGTCAGACCATCCGTAAACTCCGGTCAAGTATCAAAAATGAGTGTGATGGATTGGTAAGATCAGGCTATTCAGACCTATAGTAGATGTTTTTAGTGGTACGGGAAACCGGAGCACCTGGAGGAACCCTACACAAGTACAGGAAGGACACGCAAACTCCACACAGAAAGGCCCTGTCTGGAGGCGGAAATGAACATAGGACCTTCTTGCTGTGCCGCTATTGCCTTTCCAGCTTTTCTATTTGTATAAAACCTATTTTGATGACGTTTAATTGTATAACATGTTCCTAGATTAAGATTAAGAGATCCTTTAATCTTATACATCCATCATTTTAGTCAACTGCGGCCATTATTAATATGGTATTTTAATAACTTTGACATTTTAAAAAAACACTTTCTTGTCTCACACACTCCATGACTTCATCCCTATATTTTCGCATCCCCATCATTTAAGTGACAGGAGACGTTTTCCTCTAGTCAGCGTTAAACCTGATGCTGCACTGAGTTGAGGCTCATTCTAAATTTGTCCGGGTCTAAAACTTGAAGGGGCAAAGTCAACTACAGAAGTTCAGCTGTTCCCTCGTCTTCAAACCTCCCACCACTCAACTGCCCAGTTTAAATATAGGAAACATATTCAACTCTGCAATCTACTTTCTCTATGTGGCTTTTGAGAGAAGGAGTCAAAGCTGGCATCAAAATTTGAGGCATTGAATTTAGTGTGAGCTGCAGTCAAATATGAAGACATCCGATCCCTTGATTTTACGACTTAAATCTAATAATATTAATGGTCAAGGCATATAGAGTTACTGATGACTGAAGCAGACTACATACCAGCAGCAAGAGCCACTCTGTCACTTGTTCCATAACAGGAGCAACATTCAATGACACCTTTGCCTGGTTTGTTACAGCTGACATTGAAGTACAGAAAGCAATTTAGATATTAAAGAAACATAAAGTGTATTTGAAGAATTGTCTGAATAAAACCGAAGGAGTTGAAAGTGGTGCAAGCAACAAAGGCAGTATTTTAATTAACGTTTTAAGAGTCCACGATAACTAGTACAATATATCAAGTATGGATCATTGGAATATGTAGTGCATCTATGAAGGTAGTGTTGGAATGTCAGCTGAACAAAAACTAACTGAACGCGGGATGACACCCCCATAACAGCTGCCCCAAAGCCCCCAAAGCAGAAGACCACCTCAGTGAGAATTACAGCTAAAAAACTGTGATGAGATGAAAGCATTGTGGGGCTAATTACATCTAGGAACATATGTCCAATTCATATCCACTATTCTCCAGCTGTTCAGGAAAGACCGTATTAGTGTTGATGTCCATATTATTTTATAGGAGTGAGAAAATGTAATCTATAAAGCTATCTTTATAAGTGAACGAAACAAACAAACAAATGCTTATCAGGTAAAAGAAGAATGCTTGAGTCCATCAGATCTCCTGTACATGAGTCGAGAAATATGCAACTAACAAAACTTTACTTAAAAAACATTCAAAAAAGTAAAAACAATAGTAAAATATTAGTTTTTTGTTTTGTCTGATTGTTCACATATGTCAATAAAAACAAATAGATGATTCCCTCCGAGTGCACCAGTTCTGATTAGTGTGAAACAGTAATGTGTTGATCAACTCTGTGCAGGGAGCAGTGTGACAGTGTGACAGCTGCTGGAGGCGTGAGAGGGGGCTTTAAATGCCAAAGCTTCTGTTTCCTTCTGTCAATGTACACTGTGTTCATCGAATATATAGTCAATCCTTGAAGTGAAGGGTCTTTACACGTTTGCCAAGGATCCTTAACACAAAGCAGACCCTCTATGGATAGTTGAACAGCGTTTTGAATGAGCTGTTGAAATTATCACTGCTGGGCATAAGCTGCAGAAGATAACATGACACCCTCTTGGGCACAAAATCTTTCACAGGGGCTTATCCAATCGGATATATTTGCTTTGTCTGAATAGCAGCATCATATTGGCACGATTGCAATTTCTTCAGTTACTGGTTTAGGTTTACATTTTCTGCTGAGAAAACAAATTGAGTTTAGTTTAAATTATTGTTGCATTATTTGTTTCTGTTTTTGTGTGAAATTTACAAATTAAGTCATTTTTTAATTTGACCTTTCAAAAGTTTATTCTTCTGTTCATAGAGGTGGGATAGATTCTCAATACAGTGTTCTGAATAAAATTCTGGGAGGGCTTCTCTGAATGTCCACACTTTGCTTCCTGCATGACACTTGGAGGGTGCTGGAAAAAGCAGAGGACGTCTTTGTGTGAGGGAGGAGTGACCTCCTGACGCCCATACCCCATCTATAGCCTTAGAAGTTGTCAACTTTCTTGAGACAGCGAATCACTTCCAAGTACCGGAAAAAAGACAGGCCCACCTTGGCAAGCAGCTGCGCTTGTGTCCAAAAAAGTATTGGGTGTCCAGTGTCTGAAGAGCCTATTTGACTCACTACAGCCCAGGCAGCCTCGCACTCCAGCTTGGCGTCCAGTAGGGTTCAGGCGCTCCCATCCTTTCAATCAGTTTCTTTTGTTATTGGTTTGTGGAAACCCCTGACACTAAGCAGCCATGGATGCCATCAAGAAGAAGATGCAGATGCTTAAGCTCGACAAGGAGAATGCCTTGGACAGAGCTGAGCAGGCTGAGTCAGACAAGAAAGCAGCTGAGGATAGAAGCAAGCAGGTAAAGGGACCGTGTTGTGCAAATGTCTTCTTGCTGCTTGCCTGAGTAAAAAACTGTCTCAGATTAAACTTGTGTGCTTCTCTAAAATGTAACATATATCATTCAGAAGTATCCATTGTGCCGATAAATTATATCGGTAAAAGATAAAATAACTGAAACTAAAAATTCAAAAATAGCAATTTTTTGGCTAATGTAATAATACATGTTATTTATTTGTCTTTTTACATTAACTGATGGTTTTCTACATATTTATACTGCCTTTGAATATTTGACTTTTTTGTAGGCCTAAACACTGAAAAAATTTTCACATGAAGGCAATTAATAAGAATCTGGAATAAACTTATAATTGAAACATATCCTTTCCATTATTGTGTTAAAATGTAGCCAACCCTAATGACAGTTTCCTTCTTGTCTCTGACTGACTGATGTTTGTTCTTGTGTGCCGTAGCTCGAGGATGACCTGGTGGCACTGCAGAAGAAGCTGAAGGCAACTGAGGATGAGTTGGACAAATACTCAGAGGCTCTGAAGGATGCCCAGGAGAAACTGGAGCTGGCTGAGAAGAAAGCCACAGATGTGAGTTGATGAGCGTCAAAGGAAAAGAACAGAGTTGACCCACAACATATAGATTTGAGTACACAAAGATTAGCGATAAGGCTAGTATAATAGTAGACACTATTATGTTGAATAATGGGAACATATCGTTATAAACAAACAAGAATATGGACAGGACAAAAAAGCAGATGAAATGACAAAGGTGACTTGTGAGTGTTTCAATTATACATTTTACACATTATTATCCATAAAACCCACTTGACAAAAAGGACAGTAATGTAAATATGCACATGTTTCCTAAATTTAGTCTGTGCTGTATATAGTCACGCAGTATACTGTCTTCAAGTGCATTCCACAAGCTTCTGGGTCAAGCAAGTGTAGGATTTCAGCATCGTGTTTTACAGGCATATTTTGTCCCGCACTACATGACAGATTTGTGGTGCAGTGGATTCAAATTTGGCCCAGTGAAATTCCAAGCACAGCTAAACCAAATGTATTCTCATCATAATTTGACCTAATGCTATTAGTTTTGATGTTGTATACTACTACTACTACCACTAATAATAATGATAATAATAATTATCATTGTTATAAAGATAAGAGAAGATCAGATAAAATAACCTTTAGTCCCAAAGTGTTGCAGCACAGTGCAGAACAGTAGGAATAAAAAAGCTATACATTTTTTTTTAGAATTACTCACATATTTGTTCTTACATTATAATATAATGATTATGAATATGAATTATATCAATAAAAATAATCATAATAATCATAATCATAATAATCACAATATCAATAATTATAATGGACCTGAGTGCGTTTTTGTGGTTTTCTAGGAAAAACATTGAAAAATGTGTATTGATAACAAAAACAAAGAATTCAGTCGGCTGCTGTGATGCTGTGAAGCTGCACTGTCATTTTGATTGGGTGAGCCCAACTGGATGCTGCGCTGCGAACCAAACATATATATAGAGAGAGAAAAAGGATGAGAGAGTGATAAGTCTTCTGAAACATTGTGTCTAATAAACAATATCCAGATTATTATCTAACAATATGTTCAGCAGATCCTCAGAGAAAGAGTTTGATTCGAGGTTACTTCCGGGTTTATGGCACGTTCCAATCCTCATCAAGCCTTCGATAAAGCGGTGGGGGCAGGGATCAAAGGCGCCGTCTTCAGAGTGCTAGTCCGTGGACTCCACGCTGGGTGACACACTAGCAGACAGAATATTTGTTAAAATGGCAGGTGGAAGCTCATTAGAAGCTGTAAAGAAGAAAATCAAGTCACTGCAGGAGCAGGCCGACGTGGCGGAGGACCGAGCATCTTCACTACATCGGGACCTAAATGCAGAGAGGAGTGCGAGGGAATCAGTAAGCCACTGCTAATGATTTAAGGCAATTAGTTTGTCGGCGGCCGACGGCATTAGAGGACTATCTGGTCAAAAAGCATGGCTACTAGGCCTGCTTAGCTATACTTTATACTCTGATATAGCCAGGCAGCAGGTTACAGTTGATATTATCCCTATTGCATGTTGTGCGTTCACAAAGCGTCCCCACCCTGGCGTCGAAAACAAACAGACGAGGAGAGATTTGCTTGTATTTGCATCAACAGTGAGTGAGTCAGACACTAGCCATGCTACATCTGTGCTGGACAGACAGTAGCACAGTAGAGCATTGTTCAGCATCAGTTTCCCATCTCGTGTGATCCTGGGGTTTATTGAGCATAGAATAGTCAGACTGACTGAGAGGATGCTCCTCTTCATTTTCCACATGCAGATGACTCCTAACCTGTTGGCACAACCAGCTCATTGCTGTGCTCCACAATGTAGACATTATAGTCTTCTTATACATGTTTTGCTGATGCTCCCTTAGGCTGAGGGTGATGTAGCTTCCCTGAACAGACGTATCCAGCTGGTTGAGGAGGAGTTGGACCGTGCACAGGAGCGTCTGGCCACAGCCCTGACCAAGCTGGAGGAGGCTGAGAAGGCTGCTGATGAGAGCGAGAGGTTTGTATTCAAAACCCAAAATGCACATTCTCAAGTCTGTACAACAGAGAACATAATTGTGCATATGACATAAAACTCGGGTGTGAACTATTTGTAACGGACAACATTTCTCTCAGAGGCATGAAGGTTATTGAGAACAGGGCGATGAAGGATGAGGAGAAGATGGAACTGCAGGAGATCCAGTTGAAGGAAGCCAAACACATTGCTGAGGAGGCTGACCGCAAATACGAGGAGGTGAGATTCCTCAGCTGTCCACGGCATTTCTATCAGAGTTGCATCTGCTGTGTATTGTCACTACAATGAGTCTGTCTGGTGACTTCAGGTGGCTCGTAAGCTGGTGATCATTGAGAGCGACTTGGAACGTGCAGAGGAGCGCGCTGAGCTGTCTGAGGGGTGACTGTCTTTTTGTTTTTAAATCTAAAACATTTTTGCTCATGAATTTATGTTAATACAAGTGCACGTAATCCCATAGCAAATGCTCAGAGCTTGAGGAGGAGCTGAAGACCGTACAGAACAACCTCAAGTCTCTGGAGGCTCAGGCCGAGAAGGTATGTTTAAATGTTTTTGTTTTTTTTCTTGGTGGAATTGTAGTGTCATCGCTCATCTTGTTGTCGCCCCTTGTGTCTATAGTACTCGCAGAAGGAGGACAAGTACGAGGAGGAGATCAAGGTCCTGACAGACAAGCTGAAGGAGGTGAGAATACCGCACTCTTTGACCAGGCACAAAGTTTCTATGTCTTGTATTAATGTCTTGTCTTCCTCAAATCAGGCTGAGACCCGTGCTGAGTTCGCTGAGAGATCAGTCGCCAAGCTTGAGAAGACCATTGACGATTTGGAGGGTATGACTTCTTTTACATCTTTAAATCTTTTAACTACTCTATAATTCATACACAAAGGAACATGTTTCTGGCCTGCCTTGGCTATTTCTTGTGTATACACCAGGCAGTATTGTGCAGTTAGTTATAGGCCACAGCATTTCTCACCAGAGTGCTGCTTGGCATTCTGTCAGTTCAAGGCTGCGTAGCCCCCGAGTATAAATGCGAGGCGTTTCTCTGTGACTTCTCTGGAATCTGTCACCGCCACATGAGCAGCTGCACCATGTACCATTCCTATATTTATCCTGCTTTTTTTTGTATCCATTTATATTTTTCTTTGACACATGTTTTTCTGACTTTTTGTTCAAATTTCTCACCTTTATTTTCCCTTTTCTCACTGTGCTTCCAATCCCTCGCCATCACTTCACTCTTACAAACACTCAATAGATGAGCTTTATGCCCAGAAACTGAAGTACAAGGCCATCAGCGAGGAGCTGGACCACGCCCTCAACGACATGACTTCCATGTAATTGACCACCTGCTTGCTGCTCACTCGATAGTCTTTAAGAGTGTGAAGTGTGCTGTTGCTCCCCCTTGTGGCATGTTTGTGTAAAACAACATTAACGTTAACAATTATTTGCAGTGTGTCTAATCACCCCCTTTAGAATTATAAGATCCTGACAACTTTTTCTAAATTGAGTTGTTTATATTCTAGTTCTTGGTAATTATTTAGCTTTTTTTTTTCTTTTTTTAAGCGTATGAGCAATATTTGAATTTTATGAGTAACAAACTGACTGTTCCCTCTTCACATTTCAATAGTTGCTCACAAATGTAGTTCTCGATATCTCAAATACCTTGAATACAGATGGAACCATGTATTTAAAGGGGATGTAATATTTCAACAGTAGATCCCAATAGTGCCTACAATAGCGTTTGCCTTCTTTAGAGTTAGTTTGGTTGGTTGTGTGTTTTTATACCATTTCCACTCTCCCACTAAATCAACCTTCACCCATTATTTTGTGTGTGTGTTTGTCAGTTTTGGTTTTGCACGCTTCCACCCCCTCCTTTTAATTTCTCCTTCCAACATACTTTGTTTCTGTTCGCAGCTAAACTTTCACTTGCACACAGAAGCCAGCCTCTGGTGGAACATCCTCATCATCTCTTGTGCGCAGCTCTTCCCACCTCCATTACTTCTGTTTCGTTATCTCTGCACTGTCTTGTAATCACTGCACATTGGTTCATGGCTGCTGCTGCTGCTGTCTATGTTTTCACCTCATACACATCTTTGAGCCAAACTGCTTTCTGTAAAATAAACACCTTTTTCCATCTGTCCAGTCTTTTACCGTTTTCTCCTCCTGCAATGTTCCTTAATTTTTGTTTTGTCCTATCCATCTTTTTCATTTTCTGTCTTTGTTTGTCTTATTTATTTTGTTGAGTAGCTTTTGAATAAACTCTAAAGTTCCTCTCCCATCTACTGTTCCTTTTCTGCTTTGAGAGGACTGTTACATGGTGAATGGCCACATAAAGTTAAAACAAATGGCAATCGATAATGGTAGTCTGTTATGCCACATTTTATTTACAAACTGAGAATAGTTTGCAGCAAATGCATTTGACGACCCTCTACTTGGGTTTAGAATGATTCAGTCCAAGAAGTGCTTTAGGGCTGTACTATTTGGCAACATTGATGGGCATTGCCTTTAATATTATAAAGAGTAATTTTCTTTTGGAGCAGAACTAAAAACTTCTGCTGACAAGATGAAAGAGTTGTTCTGTTGACAAATCTTGATATTCTATAATCAAGGGACCATTTTTACCAACTGTGCAGCCCTAGTATTTTAGCCCTAGAGTGTTTTAAGTGTATGATCTAAAAATGTTGTGTCTAAATAGCTGCATCTTTTGTCTTAATCTTTCGTACTAATCCTTCTTGTCTTTCTCTTTCTTGCTTTCTGACTGTCCAGACCATCTATACAAGCAGCTTGAAAAAAATCGCATTCTCACCAATGAACTCAGAATTGCCATGAATGAGGCATAAACCATAATGTTTGACTCAACAAAAATATAAAAAGCATGCTTGTATTTCTAACATTATTATTTTCAAATATTGGTTATTATCTGGGCTGCCGCAGTGTTATGTCAAGAAATCATTCCAACGTCACCCTTTAGCCTTAAATCTGAAACCTCTTTGATACAACTTAAATTAAGTATTGAAAAAATGTGAAAGGTGTTTTCAAGCAAAATACTAATTAATGTGCCTTTTTGAAATTCAGCACAGATGATTTTTCTTGCTTGCTTTTTTTGAGGTATTTGCTAGTAATATTTTGCATAAGTGTACACTAATCATTTCAACAGCAAAACTGTTTTAAAAGTTTGCCATTGATGTTCACTTCTAGTTTAGAAATCTTTTGCTTTTTGTAGCAATGCTCCAGCCTTGACAATAGCTAATGTAATAATTATATCCACATTTTTTAATATTACTTTGCACTAAATTACTATTGCCCTCCCACGCACTAACATGCATTTACAAACACAAAACCATGTCTAATTTTGCCAATGTCTTTGACCTGCCTGTTTTTTTTGTAATGAATTTAACGGACTTAATGCTATATTAACAGATAAACACACTCAAGCTCGACAAAAGAACCTCGGTTTAAAGCAGATGATGGATCAGACAATATTGGAGATGTGTAACCTTTGATGCTCATCGGTGCAGTTCTGCCACAGAACGCCTCGACTGGTCACTTAGTAAACGAGGAAAACAGATATGGTAGCAGTAAAGACACTGTCATAATGTATTATGTCATGTTTATATGTATAGCTTTAAATATTTTGCACCGTTTCATTGTTAATAAAGCCATATATGAAGCCAAGGTTATTTAAGATGTTTTTTTTAATGTGTTTTTGTGTTAAACACCATTTAGTTGTAATCAAATGTGAACTGTGTATGCTGAGTTAAGACTTCAGTATATGGGTTCTCTTGCACGGTTTCCTTTTAAATAAATAAATAGTCAAATAGTTTAAATATGTCACTTGCCTTGTTCTTATCTTTTATATAAAGACATTTACAACCAATTGCGACTGAGGCACATGTCACACATTAAAGGTCATTTTTAAGTTTTTGTTTTTGTTTTTTTGAGCTCCATATAGTCTTACTGTTTTAATCCTCAACCAATATGAAGACATTAAGGTTGCCTGATCAGCCAGGCTCTTGTACACTGTCTGTTTTCTCAACCCTACTGCACATCTACTATAGTTCAGGGAGAAAGGTTTGTGTATTATAGGAGCTACAGAGTTTTATTTTCCTAGAGCAGTGTCTCCCAAAGTGGTGTCCGCGGCCCCCTGGTGGGCTGCGAGGGTATTGCAGGGGGGCCGCTAGAGGTCATTAAACAAAAAAAAGTTTGATTATTGTATATCTAACCCAATATTTTGTTTGTAATATTAAAATATTTGTGTTCATTATTTGACTTCAATATTCAAATTGTAATCAGATTCAGATTCATTTATTTGCCATTTGCAGTAAAACCACATAGGAAAAACTGCAAGACCACCCCGGTGTGCACCAGACGACACACACCAGAGCTCTTGCCACGGCGCCATCTTTACGGCGCCATGCATTTGTGTATTACAAAACGGGGTGCGTCATTTACATGTTTGTAGCAGAGGCTTTTCCCCCAAAATAACATAAGGAGAAGAGCATATTTTAAGTTGTCTTCTTGGTTATTATTTCTGGGGGGGCCGCGCAGACCCGCCAGATTTTTAAGGGGGCCACTGTGATACTGACTTTGGGAATGGCCGGTCTAGAGTAGGTTATTTTTTATTATTGTTTTGCTTAAAAAAATCTACTGTCTTAGATATTTCTGTGAAAGACTGAATTGGCTGAAAATTTTGAAGTTTGGATTATATTTCTATATATCAGAGCCATTTGCTGATGATACCCTGCTTGACATGACTTACTATTTACTTATTTTAAACTTAACATTCTTAAAAGAGGTAGACTTCGCACATCTCTTCTATGACAGGTGCGTAGGAGTGGGCGCGCACAAGGTGGCCAAACATGAAAGAAAGGATGACACCCGCACACTGTCTAACTTGCAAACACCAGTGGTTTATTAGCAACGTTTCGGCCACAGGCCTTCCTCCGGCAAAATATCTTGCCTGAGGAAGGCCTGTGGCCGAAACGTTGCTAATAAACCACTGGTGTTTGCAAGTTAGACAGTGTGCGGGTGTCATCCTTTCTTTCAAACTTAACATTCTTAAAATATAAACCCTTTGGAAACGTTGTGTTGGCCAAATGTAGGCCTACTAATCATATAGAATAAGATGGGACTGGACACATGTTCAAATCGGGTTAAAATCCAGAAAGGTGCATGTATATGATTGTGAAGTGCGAGTGTCCTGAACTCCTCCCGCCGAAAGGGGGCAGTACAACAACGACAACAGCACAGATGGGGTTGGGGTTCGTCTGGAAACGGCAAAACAACACGAGTGGTCAGAAGCAGTACCAGTCTATGGTCAGGAGTGTCCACAGTCATACAGTAATCCAGACTGTAGGACTGGATGCGCTCGTTGGCCTTTTATAGCGCTGTTATATTAGCCCTACCATCGTTGGCGCGCGCTGGGCATGATGGGAGAAAGTCCACATCTGTCCGCTTCCGTTCCAGACAGCAAAGCCTCGTATGTCCTCAGTAATGTAGATGAAGTGGTCGAGAGAATCCTCACATTTGTACCAACCAAGTCGCTACTACAGATCGCCAGGTATCTCTCCGTAGAGCTGTGGTTTCTGGCTGTAAAGAAGTGTCTGCTGTGCTGGTATCATTGACTGTAATGTTGGAATGGTTAGACTAAAGCCATGTGTTCAGTGTCTGCAGGTTATGGAGGAACTGTGCGCGGCGGGTGCTCCGGACCCAGCAGGACCTGGGATGGGTGTCTGCGGCTGGACACAGCTCGGGGGTCCATGTGCTGTACAGTACACTGGCCATGGACGTGGAGGTGAGGTGCTGCCATAGCCCATAATGCCTAATGCTGGGGTCGCTAACTTTCAAACCACAAAAACATTGAGCCATGAAATTAAATCCATGTAACTGGTTTTTAACTCTCAAAATAGTTTGGTTCTATCACTAGTTTCCACATGCATGTATTTTTTCACAACTGTCACAACTTTAAAAAGAGAAGACCGCATTCACTCAGCCCTCACCTCAGAGCTCCCATTGCTCTTTCTTACAAATGTGCAAACATGTTTTCTAATAAAATGCAGGCCATATTGTCGGATTTGTTCACCAAACTTATCTGTTACAAGACAATCTGTTGATAGTCAGCCTTAACTCATAATGTTTGTCTTTACTCTTGACATGTTGCCACACACACCGCACATACCACACCACAACATATTCCTTTAGAAGGTCCTGGGTTTGAATCCCGGTCGGACCAGGGCCTTTCTGAGTGGAGTTTGCATGTTCTCCCCGTGTCTGCGTAGGTTTCCTCCGGGTCCTCCGGGTCCTCCGGTTTCCCCTACCACTAAAAATATGCACAATAGTTCTGGCATGCGCCTCCTGTACTGGCGACCCCGCTCCCATCTCTGTGTGGAGTGAGAGACTAATGTCCAAAAAATAACTTTGTAAAACCGCTTTGTGACTCTGGTCTGTGAAAGGCCGTATATAAATAAACATTACTTACATACTTACTTTAGATTCTAATGAAATAACTTGAAGGCCTTAGAGAAGGTGTACAAGAAGGTTATCTCCAAGAGGATTGATCTGAATATATGTGTAGATATGTATTCATCTTCGTCCCATACATTACTCATGAAACCAAAATCACTTAAGTTGTTTTTGTTTATGATTGTCAGAACGTGTTTTTGCTTCCCAAAACTGTCCTCGCCATGGTAGATGATGAAACTTTCAATGCAGAAGACTCATCTTATTCTGGTATGTAGAAATACTTTGCTATTTATTTTTATAAATAGATATATAAAAGTAGTTGTCTTTTAGTGTATTTCATCACTATTACTTGCTATTGGCGTACAACAGTTTGACTTGTCCTTTGGTTTATACAGATTGAGGTCATTTGAATGTACTTGTTATATCCAAGATCAATTACATTTGATGTTTGAGTCAAAAGTGTGTTTATCTCCTGAAGCAAAACGGAGTCGTCATGGTGCTGACCCTGTTGAAGATGTAAATCTACTCTTTCCCAATGGCTGTGACATCCTGGGAATCACCGCCCCCGGCATTGTCTGTAAGTGCCTCCATGTGTAAGTTTATGATTCACTTACAGCAAAAGTATTTGGCACATTTGCCTTTAAGGCCCCCGAGGTATTTTCTTAAACCTGTAAATCGGACAAAAAGCGATGCCTTGAAACTTATAACAACATAAATAAAAGATAATATTTTTTTCTGTAATGTTTGTCAGAAAGCAAGTATCGGCCTTTCATTAACTTTGTACGGTAATAAAGTACTTGAACAAACTGATGCTTGGAGGCAGATGAAAACAGATGAGACATGACAGAAAGCCACTAGAGCTAGACTAAATACAGCAAACTTAAAACAAATTATTTACAAATTGAATATATATAATCTCAAGATTTTAACTATACATGTTCTTATTCAATAACATAAAATGATTGTTTTCTTGATGAAAGATTCTCTTATAACATGTGTCATCTTTAAAATATCTATGTGTGATGTTTACATTAATGTAAATAACAAATTTTCTCTCTTCCCCTCAGTAACTCCTCACACTCACCGTGCGGCATGCCCTAGAGAATATCAGGATGGGGGGGCAGGGTTTGCAGTTATGTTTCCAAATGTCAATGGAGTTCAAATCAAGCCTTTTCATTTTTGCAAAAAGACCATTTCGCCGACAGCCATGAAAGAAGCAGGTTGTTGTCACTATTATTTAACTCGGTCCATCGGAATATTCATCAAACTCTTCTATTTGCTTTTGTTCTAGGACTAATCGATAATACAGAACTTCGTGTGGTTCTGCTGTTTGTCTATGAAGCATATAAATCTGGAGGAGCACGCTTTCTAAATCAGATCCTGGGACCGTTGGCAGAGACCAAAGCTCTTGTAGCAGGGGGGCTTGTGGAAAGAGCGTTCTATCCCCCCAGACATTGGTAAGGCAAACATCAACATGCTCACAACACAATGTTATCCATTAACTATCTGCTAACATTTTCCTTGCACACTTTGTGTCTAGCTGCAACCAGGGAGCATATGGTGTTGTGGGGCTTACTTTGAGCGGCTCAAAAGTGCAGGGGGCTTCTGTTCTCCTGGATTACAATGTTGGCACCCCACAATCAGCTGAAGATACAATTCGGCGTCTTAAAGCGGTGAACATTCCCGAAAAAAACACCATTGGCTTTATGTTTGCCTGTCTGGGGAGAGGTGAGAATCATTACAATAAGCAGAGCAATGTGGAAGCCGATGCCTTTCATAAAGTATTTCCAAATACGCCCCTTTTTGGGCTGTTTGGTAATGGTGAGATCGGTTGTGATCGTATAATTAAAGATGACTATACGCTGTGTGACGTTGATTCAGAAGGGCTGCAGCATGAGTATACAACTGTCATGACATTGGTCCATTTAGGTTAGCAAACTTCCAGCAGGGAAACGAAACACACTTTTTTGGTTAATATCTGAGAGTAGCTACCAAGGTTTCTTCAGACCAACCTTCATGAAAGAGCACTTTTCTGACGTGAAACAGGAGCTAGTTACAGCACGATTGCTAACTTGTCTGAGGGTATGAGGCACAAATACCTTATTAGAAACACTCATACTGTGTATAGTTATTGTTTTTTGTTTCTACCCAAACATGCACATCCTGGTTTGGTACATACCCGCCATGACAAACTGTAAAACAGCAGCAGCACTTTTAATTATGAGGTGAATGCATTGTGATTCATAATGATTCTCTACAAAGTCATCAAGATTAAACACTTTTTAACCACTGAATAAATACACTGTGATTCATCCAAAGTGATTGTCTCTCAAATGCATCACAATAGTGGTAATTCAGTGCTGCCCAAAGATTCTCTGGGCTGTGAAACATCTTTGCTCTTTTTAATGACATAAATTAATGAGTTCTACTATTAATGAGTGATCAAATGTCAGGGCTGGTTGCCTTTGCATTCTATTAGGCATATTTGTTTTGTCCAAAATGTTGTTTTATGCCTGAAATCCATTACCTTTTTCATGTCATATTGTATTTTGTATTCATCTCATTGTATATGAAACCGCTTAGATAACTACGTTTGATATTCCTGGACTTAACTGCCAAATTATATAACCTCACCCTGTGGTTTGAGTTTGATTAAATCTGTTGGCAAAACACTTGAGTCTGTTTTAATTTGATCTTGTGCTCACATTTGAAATCACTATCTTCTGTAAGTATAAGCACACTGCCTCCTCGTGGATCTCAGCCTATTAGGGCCATCTCTGCCAGCCCACCTCCACACATGTTTATGAAGATAGGCTGCAGTGTGATTGATGCGCGCGCGAACCATCGACTGGCTAATCTCGATGATTGACAAATATGTGGGCCAATGGCGACAAAGGTAATTATATTCCACAGTATCCTTATTTTGGAAAAGCATGAAACTGCTCATGCCATTGGGGAGGACAACCTACCAGGCGTAAAGCTAATAAAAGCATAGTGCTCTAATCTGCATCTGAACACTCGCTGCACAGGGAGCCGGGCAGACGCGCACGGACGTCCCACTCTCCGGACCACATTCAGACCAACTCGTGACCGGAGCGACGCTAATGTCACACTATGTTGACGATCAGACTCCGACATGGTAATGTGATGGCGCTTGGATAAGACTGCTGTCGTGCGGTTGTTGTGGAGAAGGTTTGGTTGTGAACTGTTTTTTTTTTTTTAGGGCATCATTTCAGCACCTGGACAGCTCCTTTCCCAGTGTTCCCCGCTGCGCGCACCGGGGAAACCCGGAGCTGAGTCGCGGACGACTCTCCATCCCAGCAGGACAGCTCTCCGTTGCTGAATATGATCACCGTGAAAGGCGGAAAAGCGAATGTGATCTGCTCTTGTGACGATGTTTCTTGCGATTGAGCCAGAGCGTCGTTTTGTTTTTTCACTGAAATCCAGCCAGCGCGAGTGGGAGCAGCGGAAGCGGCAGTGGTGCTCATCCAAAGCAGAAGTGCTAAGGATAGCTGCAACCTACACTCAAGAGTCCACGGTTGCTCTACTATCTACAGCAGGAGCCCAACGCCAAGCACATTCCGCCATCTATGCGAATGTTGCACAGGTATGTTATTCAGCTTTGTACTGCCTTTTCCTTTCGAGACTTCCAAGTAATAAGATTGTTAAGTGTTGTATTCCTCACGAAGCATATCCCCATTTCAGCCATGGGGTGAAACTTTTTGATCAGCAACGCATAAGTGTATGATGTCTATGTAAGAGGGACTTCATTCAATGCTTAAATAACATGTTTATATTCATAATAATTCCATATTTTACTGTTGGTGCATTGTAAACCTCATTTTAAGTGCACACATTGATCTTTCAGGTTCAACATGAAAGAAGTTTCCATCAGAGGAAAAGGTGAAGTTCAGCACTAAATCAGAGTGACAGCCAACAGATCCCTCACCTCCATCATGGCCAATGCTGAGTAAGTCTTTACACTGCTGCTTTGCCACTTTGGACACATGCAGATACGTCTGGCTGACCACGTACAAACAATTTGATTTGGTAGTTCAGTACAAATGCCAGTCAAAACAGCTCCTGGCAAGGCATGTGTGACCCTGCTCTCCCAGAATGCTAAGCACTGGAGCACACTGATGCAATCATGCACAGTAGCACCTGCGCTATAGACTTGACTATAGAGCCTCCATTCTGTGTAGGCTTAGGCCAAACTCAGGCGTACACGTGCATATAGTGCAAGAAATCTAAAAAGCAGTCCGTTTTCTAATACCATTATAACACGTCAAAGTTAGTACTGAAACATTCATTCAATAAAAAAAAAACAGATATTTTGCTGCCTCAATCTTTCGTCTAATTATTTAATGAGGTTACCCAAAACCATGTCAAACTATAACGCAGACATGTTTCTTTTTGGCGCCTGCACTGAAAGCTTCTGTAAAATTATGCACAGAAGCTTTCTTTTTTTCTTTTTTAAATATGATTTTTCTTAAAAACATATATTCTAAATAATCTTATGATGTTTTTTTGTGGAAAGCAACAAAAGTGAATAAACTACTTTAGTAATCATGCATTACTCGATTATGAAAATAATAGAATAGACGTAAATGGCTACATAAGTCTGTGATCACACAGTCATGCCTCTTTTTGTGTTTATCATGGGCCGTTTCATCTAAAAGCCATCTAAAGGTATGCCCCTCTCTTTAAAAAGACCCTCACTCTATTGTGAGTGGTCATAAAACTTGTGTATATTTTATGTGTATTACTTGATTGGCATTTCAAGTGCAAGGAGCCATTAGTTCCAATAAATACCTGAAGATATTATAAAAAAAGATATTCTGCAAACCATTACACAGAGTCAGTTTGAATCCCTTCACTTGTTACTTAATGTAGCTTGAACTGTGCTCCTCCTGAACATACAATTGCTAAAATAATACATCATACAAACCAAATACAAAACACTCAAGGTGCTTGTACTTTTTGTGTTGTCTACCGTTTGTGTCTGTAAATGTCAGATAAGACACTGGTCACAGGGATGAAAACAGTCCATTGTGCCATTTGTACTTACCTCAGATATCACAATATTTCAATAACAAGTATTCCACAGGTATTTTTTAATAACGTGTGGAGCAGTTCTCATCTCCACAATCACTTCATATTTATTTTTGAACTTACTAAATGTCAACAAATATTTTATTTCAAACTTTTTTCCAAATATATATTTGTTTTTACAATGAAATGAATGATAAGAAAACACACACAATCATCATTGACTGAAAATAAAAAGGCTGCATACATTCTTTTTCATTGAGTACCTTTTATTTGGTCATTTGAATGTGACCTGACTCCAACACTATAGTCTGGTGTTTTCTCTGTCAAAGACATCTCACTTCAGTAGAGATGACAGTATTATAATCATCTGTCCCAGGTATACTGGATGATTTAGATAATAGGATATCTGATTGAATAAAGCTTTGATCACATTTTCCCTGCCTCAATAATTCCGTCACTTTGAATATTTACTTATAGACGGTAACGCACCCGCACAATGACACCACTTATTTACATGGCACCATTTCCATGTGGTGTGACTCTGACTGAATGTGTAGTGCTCACAGCAAGAAGGTTGTGCGCTCCATCCTGCTTCAGCGCAGGCCTCTGGATGGATTTCCTCTGGGCGCTCCGGTTTCTCCCGCCACCCAAAACATAGCAACATAGGTAAATTTCTTGTGTTCAAGTACTCCTGAGCATCCAGGGCTGGAGATGTGCCAATCTTTTTCTGTTTGAAATGTTCATTTTCAATCCAATCCACTTTATTTATATAGCACATTTCATAAACACAGTTTCCAAAGTGCTGCACAATAAAATACTAATTAAAACCAATCCATGGTAAAACAGTAAAATCATTAAAAATGAAAATCAGGAAAAACCATGTGCATATATGTATAGACATAATAAATACCATTTTAGCTCACGCAGTGTTTAAAGCCAGAGCATAAAAATGGGTCTTAGGACGAGACTTAACACTCCACAGAAGGAGCAGTTTCAATATGGGGGGGTGGGGGGGAGATTCTATTTGCCTTAACAATGAAATGAATTTTTTTAAACATGCAATTATCAGTTCATTATTTTTATGGAAATTATTGTTAATTACTTGATTAATAAAAGGTAATAATTGATAGATGACTCAAAGTAATCGATAGCTGCAGCCTTATTGGATGCTGATAGTCGCTTGATTGCTGTTTGTTTTGGAAAAAAGCCAAATCTCCCACGAGGTTGTAGATGCGTGATAGTGCAGATGCAATGAGTAGGACACAAGTGTTGTGGAAATGATAAATACCACATCAACTTCACTCAGATTAGACTGTTTACTGCATCTACAAGTGGGGCAAAAAAGTATTTAGTCAGCCACCGATTGTGCAAGTTCTCCCACTTAAAATAATGACAGTGGTCTGTAATTTTCATCATAGGTACACTTCAACTGTGACAGACAGAATGTGAAAAAAAATCCAGGAATTCTCATTTTAGGATTTTTAAAGAATTTATTTGTAAATTAAGGTGGAAAATAAGTATTTGGTCGATAACAAAAATTCAACTCAATACTTTGTAATATAACCTTTGTTGACAATAACAGTGGTCAAACAATTACTATAGGTCAGGGGTGCTCACACTTTTTCAGCATGCGAGCTACTTATAAAAGGATCAAGTCAAAATGATCTACCTACTACAAAAATGCAAATCATATATTTCAAAAAATATTCTTTATATCTACAATGTATGTTTATGTACATGCAAAACAGCATGAGCCAATATAGCACAACACAACACAATTACCTATGTACATTTTTTGTCATTACCCGAGTTTACTCTTATGACTTGCACTGAATTGAATCGGCCAGGGATGCATAGTCCGGAAAATTGGTGGTAACTCGCTGACAAGTTTGTCGTGGTTTTGCTTTCCTGCACTGAGCGCGGTTGTTTGCGCATGTGCAGTCACCTAAGTGTCAGTAAAACATTACTGAGTAAAACACAGATGTCATTTGACTGTGGTGCCATGTCCATGTGCCATGCCTGTTTTTTTAAAATCAAAATATTTCCCCTCCTCCGTTTATAAAATAATTTGCATCCACACATCTGCGTTATCAGTCACGTTCGTAACATTCCAAACATGTGCGTCTCTTACGTCCTGTCCTGCGTTGGGGAAAAACACAGAAGTGGGCGGAGCTTTGATGCAGACGCCGGTAACGGCACTTTTACAGTCATAGAAGACACTCAGAGTAAAGACGTATGTTTACAAGCACTGACCCCGTCCTCAGCCCTGGTTTAGTCCTGGTTTAGTCCTGGTTTGGTTGTTTTCGAGCGTGAGTCCCTGCGATCACTTTGCTGCTCTCTGATGTGGAGCGAGGATGTTCGCTGCTGCGAGCATCTCACAGCGGACAATTTTTAAGGTAGTATGATCCATGCTTCAGTGATCAGAGGAATTTAGGGGGGTACTGTGGCGTGCGAGAACGCAAAACTCCGGTTATCTCTGTCTACACACAAATGCATTAACGGAGTTTTCAAAAATCTCCACTTTGCCCCGAGTTTTTTGTATATATTCGTTTAGAATGTGTAATTTTTTATTTATTTAATGCGATCTACCAATACTACCTTTGCGATCGACTGGTAGATCGCGATCGACGTATTGAGCACCCCTGCTATAGGTCTTTACCAGCTTTGCACACACAGTAGCTGGTATTTTGGCCCATTCCTCCATGCAGATCTTCTCGAGAGCAGTGACGTTTTGGGGCTGTCGCCGAGCAATACAGACTTTCAACTCCCTCCACAGATTTTCAATGGGGTTGAGGTCTGGAGACTGGCTAGGCCACTCCAGGACTTTCAAATGCCAGAGCATTCCTTCGTTGCCCGGACGGTGTGTTTGGGATCATTGTCATGCTGCAAGACCCAGCCACGTTTCATCTTCAAAGCTCTCACTGATGGAAGGAGGTTTTGGCTCAAAATCTAACAATACATGGCCCCATTCATTCTTTCCTTGACACAGATCAGTCGTCCTGTCCCCTTAGCAGAAAATCAGCCCCAAAGCATGACGTTTCCACCCCCATGCTTCACAGTAGGTATGGTGTTCTTGGGATGCAACTCAGTATTCTTCTTCCTCCAAACAAGACAAGTTGAGTTTATCCCAAAAGTTCTACTTTGGTTTCATCTGATCACATGACATTCTCCCAACCCTCTGCTGTATCATCCATGTGCTCTCTTCAGACGGGCCTGGACATGCACTGGCTTCAGCAGGGGGACACGTCTGGCACTGCAGGATTTGATTCCCTGCCGTTGTAGTGTGTTACTGATGGTAACCTTTGTTACTTTGGTCCCAGCTCTCTGCAGGTCATGCACCAGGTCCCCCCGTGTGGTTCTGGGTTTTTTGATCACCGTTCTCATGATCATTTTGACCCCACGGGATGAGATCTTGCGTGGAGCCCCAGATCGAGGGAGATAATCAGTGGTCTTGTATATCTTCCATTTTATGATAATTGTTCCCACAGTTGATTTGTTCTCACCAAGCTGCTTGCCTATTGTAGATTCACTCTTCCCAGTCTGGTGCAGGTCTACAATTCTTTTCCTGATGACCTTCGACAGCTCTTTGGTCTTGGCCATAGTGGAGTTTGGAGTCTGACTGTTTGAGGCTGTGGACAGGTGTCTTTTATACAGATGAGTTCAAACAGGTGCCATTAATACAGGCAACGAGTGGAGGACAGAAGAGCTTCTTAAAGAAGAAGTTACAGGTCTGTGAGAGCCAGAGATCTTCCTTGTTTGAAGTGACCAAATACTTATTTTCCACCATAATTTACAAATAAATTCTTTAAAAATCCTACAATGTGAATTCCTGGATTTTTTTTCACATTCTGTCTCTCACAGTTGAAGTGTACCGATGATGAAAATTACAGACCTCTGTCATTATTTTAAGTGGGAGAACTTGCACAATCGGTGGCTGACTAAAAACTTTTTTGCCCCACTGTACAACGAGCAGGCCTCAAACATGCTCCAATATCATGACTTTCACACAATCCTAAAACAAGAAAATCAAACCACACTTTTCTTCATATCCAATGATCATGTGGAGAAAGACGTTGCTGTTTAACTGAATCATATATTTACTTTACTAACAATCTATCTTCATTTCATTTTTATTATAGAAAGCTGTTTGGATCATTCTCTTTTTTGGCTCAGACAATAAATGTACCTTAACCAAAAGCATATCTTTGTCTTCAGAAATGATTTTATTTTCTGGATATTTGCTGAGCATTGTGGGACCTACAGAAATGTGACCAATCAGAACAATCAGGTGGAGGTGATAATATAATCATAAGTGATTATCCCCTTCCACACGAAATAATCTTGTGTGGACTTGCTTTTTTTGTTTTATCATTTGAGAGTAATAATAATCATGCATTTGCAAATGTAAAAAAATACAAAAGCGTGTCAATCCTCAGCATTAACGCATATCTGGAAGGAAGCGTCGAGCCAAGAGCAGACTTTTGGACCAGGCTGTAAAGCCGTTTTTGAGCGGAAAAAATACATTTGAATTCAATGCAAATTCTGTTTCTGGAGGAAACAGAAAGGAGTGAGATGGCAAGGATGTCAGTGCACATGTTCATGGGCCTTTTTGAGCCCGGACCTGCCCCCACTGGGTAACCCACGTATAAAACAGCAGCTTTGTAAATTGAAGCCGTTATTGTTACTGTCAACATACTTATTAGAATTTCCTGCCTACACCTACAGAGTGATGTGCTGTCTGCAGGCGTGCAGTCTGGGTCATGGGTCTGCCCTCTTTCAGGTGCGTGCGCAGTGACACCACTTTCAGTTCAAACAAGTGAGTGGCGGAGAAGGAGCTTTGATGTGACCATTTTTCACATTGTTGACAATTAGAAAAGTAGCCAATTGATCTGAGAAACTCAAAAAATTGTCATGGGAAAAATTGTTGCATAGGGCAAAATCAGTCCAGAGGCAAGGAACCAGAATCCATTGTTCCAGTTTCGCTTCACGCCTGCTTGTGTTTGATTTCATGTTAAAGATAAACTTAAGAAAGACATTGATTGATTTGGATGCACTCAATTTGTGTAGTAACATTTACAATTTTATATGATGGAAATAAATGTAAAGTAAAGACTGTTTCGCTCCTTGTGGATCACAGGATACACACAGTGTCCAAACTGATCCCACTATCGTCCAGATCTGTCTGTGTGAGTTTAAAGTGCGGCTTCCGGACGCTTAAACGTGTTGTTGAGAGGCAGCGGCCACAGTGCTTTCAGTGTTTGTGTACGTAATAAAGTAGCTAATAAATATAAAGAGAACAAGTAAACACACATTCATTGAAGACTAGGCCTTGTCAGTACAAAGCGAAACACAAATACAAATAGCTTGCTTGTTTATCAGTGAACGATCTTGCTTGTTTATTTAATCCACTTTGTATGTGGTCCATAGTTTTGCACAAATGAAACTTGCTGTGGTGTCTGGACAGATGCTCAGTCAGTGGCCACTATCAGCACAGCTTCCCATCCTCCTTGAAACTTCACATTTGAGTGTGGCACTGTATTGGGATATATAAAGCTTATTTGCACATGTGGACGGAAAATTAATAGTCTGAAGAGTATTTAGTCCAGCTCCACATAATTCTGCTGTTTTGACATCACCTCGTTCGTGGAGACAAGAAGCGTATCGTTCAGGGTGACAATGAAAAAAAATCACCCATGAGCAGACGATTGGAGGTTGCGATTGCCGGAGGTTTTATTCATATTCCACAACAAATTTGTCATCTTTCTGTGACCGCTAGCACTAGCTATTATGATTGGGGTGACTTGGCTTAAGGTGGTAGGAGCTTTGCACAAAGACAGATAAAACATCTCAGTATTACTTGCTGATATCTCCAGTGAAGTGTTCCCCTGGGAGCTCAAGATTGGTCAGCAGTTCAGCTATTTACTGGGCACAATTCAAAACAGCATGTTGGCTCTTTCAATGCCCTTTCTCGCTCTTCCGGTTCTCTTTTTCTTGTTCTTCTTACATTAAGAGGAGAGTGGAAATCCACTCAGCTGACAATGAGAGAGGCAGTGACGTCACAGCAGACATGATATACCAGCATCTGCTCTGCTCTAAAAATACACAGCGCACACACAGGCAGTCTGCAGCTGCATTCTTTCTTTCCACCTCTACGCTCCGTTGACATAGCCCTGCTTCTGCGTACCACTACAGGCTTCAATACTGGCTATATTTGAGACTCTCATCTCACAGACCTTAAACTGTACCACCCCAAATGAGTCGTGGTCAATTCTTTTGTCTTTCAGTGTTCCATCCATCCGTTCATTTTCTTCCCCTTTATCCATTTCTGGGTCGGGGGGGGTGGCAGTCAGAGCTGCACCCAGTACACAGAGCACCATCCCCTCACTGATCCTCCTGCAGGTGGTTAGTTCACAGGAGCCCTGATCTTTCAACTGGGGCTTCAGGCAAAGTAGGGTTAAGTTTTGCCCAAGGACACAACGACAGCAGTCATCAGTGGGAGTCGTGAAGTAGGTCTTGTGGTTGATTCAAACCTACGACCTTCAGGACCAAAGGCCAATGTTCTACCAACTGAGCTACTGTTGCCCCTTTTGTCTTTCAGTATTCCAGTTGTAGTTTATTAACTCACTATCACAAACAGTTCAGTGGCACGTGGACCCAGAGCAGGAGCCTGAAGGCATATTTGGGACACTGAGTCAGTGAAGGGACCAGGCCTCTGTGAGTCAGAGGAGGGACCCGCGACAGCACTTGATCCACAGAGTGTACAGTGGAGTGCTGTACACTCAGAGCAAAGCACACTGGATACAGGTCTCTGTCATCACACCAGTCGTCTGTACTGTATCCAAGACAGAGCCTGACCACAGACCTTAAAGTCAGAGAAAGTCAATGTTTGTCTTCTTTGCTTCTCACAATCATCATGTTGCTCATTGTACTTGATGTCAAATTTTTCACCATAATCTGAGCAAACTTGTAACTGCTCCTGCATGCCCGCACTGTAAGGGTCATCTGCAAGATGTTGATGCTTTTCACTCACTGAGCAAACTATCACATTGCTTGATTATTGTAGAGAAAAACCCTCACTACACAAATGTAAATAATAATGTATTTTCAAATACGTGAACGTCTGGACCTCAGATCCAAGCAGCACATTATATGAGCTGTGTTTGGTTGTATTTGATTGGTCAGATAAAGAGCCAATCAGAATAAATCGAAAGTGGCTGCAGAGAAGCGATACTTCTTTTGTCATTGCATTTGTCAGCAACAATCAGAAGTGTAAACTCGTAAAAGACACATCTCACACTTGTACACATTGACTCTCACTGATTGCAAAGAACGCAATGCTGGAGCTGGTTGGCCACAGGAGCCGAGTGTAAACAGGAAGAGAAACAAAAACTTAACTCTGATCTCGAGGTAGTCTCTTAAGTTCTTACTGTATTAGAGCCACCATCTGTACCGAGCGTTGTACTACACCGCATTTGGGCTGGCACGGTTGAAAAAATAAATGCTTCTGACCGTGGGCCGTCTTCACACCCATGCAGCGACGATCCGGGCCACTTGTCCTAGTTCATTTGTCAATGTGACGTGCCCCTAGTTTGTCCTAAAAATGAATTTGCCTTGAACCTTTTCCGTTATTTTGCAGACAAAACAAACTGATTATTCGGCATGGCTCATTCGGGCACACTTACATTTGGTGAGGTCCCAGATTCGTTCCATTTTCTTGGGTTGATTGGCTCAGTTGTTTTGTATGTACTGTACGCCATACTACATTGGTTTCCCAGCATCTCTCTCTGATTGGCTCAGCTGTCATTGCACTTGTGACTTGTGGACTTTGCCACCAGGACACATCAAATTCTGGACAATGGTGGAGGAGAGAAAGTTTAATTCATCTGCATTCACCACTACCTACGCTACTCTACGTTTCTTCAATAAAAAAATAAAAACAACGTTACATGTTGTTTGATTGTGTTTCCTGTTCTCTATATATTCTAGTACTATCCTTGCAATCTACCCACTACACACTAGCACTATGACCAATCACTGCCTTTTAGAGAACTTTAGTACCAACAGGTCCTAAAAACAATAGTCTCCCTGGGTAGAGTAAAACGCATATAGGGCATATAATGTTCAATAATGTTCAGTCTTACTTTTCACTGATTTGTTATTAGTCTTTCCCAAAGTCATAAAACATCTATAATTGCCTTAAGTAGCAGTGTATAACCATATCATGGCCGATGTATCGTGACACAAATCAACAGATACAACGCAATGAACACCCCAAGCATACACACATACTGTATGTTTTTGTTTTGCTTATTCCATTATTGAGTGTATTGCTGTTTCCTCCTGAACACATCCCCCATGGTTCTTCATTGTACACTATATGTTCATGAGAATCAGCACTATCCTCTCTCTCATGCCTCCTGCTCGTCTCTGCAGCAGGGAGGCGGAGCAGGCCGGCGTGTCGGACCTGGAGATCATCTCTCAGCCTGTGGATGATGAGAACCAGTGCTTGGCTCCTCCAGTGCAGCTGCTGAGTTTTGGATACAGGGATCTTCCTCTCACAGCTCTGGATGTGTCGCTGGCCGGATCGCAGCTCCTTTCCAATGCAGACGAAGATGAGATCAGGGAGGGGTAGGTTGAACTTTTTTTGTATTTTAGATAGAGATAAAAGTGGCAAATGAAAAAAGTGCATTGATCTGCTTTAGGAGAAATTGCTGGTCTACACAAACTAAGGTATATAATTTAGATATATATATCTATTTTATATATATATATATATATATATATATATATATATATATATATATTATATTATATATATATATAATATATACATATAGAGAGAGAGAAATATAAATAAATTGTGAATATTACGTATATTTTATATATACATTTCTTCAGACAACCTTGAAGACATTTTACTTTGATACGATGTGTAACAGCTAAAATGTACTGCTTCCTCAAATTAACTCGATACACGGCCATCGATCTGAAGGAAACAAAAGTTAGTACACTCTTAAGAAATGTCCAATATTGCAGAAAATGAATATTTATTGTTGCCACAATATTACATTGCATTTTCTAAGGAACGGGGGGCTCCACAGCAGCAGAAGCACTCACACATGACTGTAAACTCCTCACCTGGCCGCTAACAAACTGCTTAACAGAATCTGAACCAAACAAGGACTTTTGTGTCTCATCAGTCCACCGGACATTTTCCCAGCTCTTAAGTGGTTTCCGTCAAGCAGGATGGTCTGAAACATGAACCCAACATAAATGTTATACAACAATGCTGAAAAATAACACTTTGAACACAGGGAGGAGGGCACTCTCTCAGAAATGTTTGGGGTGCACTTAATATTGATTTACAACACTTCCATAATCATCTTCCATAATGAAAAAAGTCACATTGTCAATCATTATGTCTAGATATCCATTTCTAAATTACAGAATCAACCACAAGATAATTTCCTTAATGTTATATCCTTGTGAGATTTTTTTTAAAGAATCAGATTGTGTGTAGCATGAATGTTCATTGTAAACTTGTGTTAAAAAAACCATAGAAGTCACTGGGTTTTCTATACCAGACAATAGTAAAAGTTCATCAAACGCATCATCGCTAACCAACTGTTGTTCCTCTACTGCAGCCATTCCCAAACTCAGTAACACCGAGGCCCCCTTAAAAATCTGACGGGTCTGCGTGGCCCCCCAAAATAATAACCAAGAAGACAACATTAAGAATAGGCTCTTCTGGTTATTTTATTTTGGGGAAATAGCCTCTGCTACAAACATTGTAATACAAAAATGATTACAGTGGATTATTCAAGTCAAATAATGAACACAAATATTTTAATATTACAAACAAAACATTATAAATTTAACATTAAATAATTACATTATTATTTTTTTTTTTTATGACCTCCCGCGGCCCCCCTGCAGTACCCTCGCGGCCCACCAGGGGGCCGCGGACCCCACTTTGGGAGACACTGCTCTACTGTAAAGAGGAACCACATACCTACATGTTTATGTTAATGCCGATATTTAACTACAGTTGAACCTCCACAAAATCGCACTCACAAACAGACATAGCCGAAATGTAATTTGTACTATGGTGTGGTACGACCAGGCTAAAACAGACATAGTTAGGCATTGTTTTTACTTGTTACCCCGTCCAAGGAGAAAATGTCTTGGCAGAGACAGAACACAGCTCAGACTCTTTCACGACAGATCTGACTTCAGTCAGATTTTTGGTCAACTTCATATGCATATAGGGCAGGAAACCAACAGAGAACTAGCATGTACAAAGCCTGCTTCCTCCTGGCATTACCATAAGAGGCCCCTAAGTCTAGACTTTCTGGAGCCAGAAATGATATAGAAATACACAGACAATATATTTCGCCACTATGACTTATTAAAATTCAAACTTAAAGGAACTATACCTGATTTATTTTCTAATGAGTTAATAAAAATGCGTATTACTACAAACAAGTTTTATTAAAATCCATAATTTATTTGAAACTTGAGCTCATTAATACAGCTTGTGTATGAATTCAGGCCGTAAGGACGCTAGTTCTCCTCTACTCACAGAACGTCCGCAGCGCAGGTAAACACTGCAGCATGGCAGTAGAAACTGGCTATACCTCCTCCGGCTGTAACTGCATACACAGCAACACAGCCCAAAAGACGCAAAAGTTAGGAAGAGAAGAGGGAACTAAAGGAGAAATCCAGACTGGGTGAATATACGTAACGTAGAGACCTGCGGGTGCGGGACCGCCTCGGACTACATTTGGAGCTTACCAGATGTTGCTAATGTTTGCATACGTATCAGATCGCAAATAAAACTAAATGACTCCGTGGGAGGTGAGCGTAGGGGAAATGAGAAGCCTTTGAGCGAGTTGGGGGGTGGTGCTAAACATTCAAACTGAAAAAAACCTTGCAGAAACAGGTAAACGGCTCACGTCTCACAATATGGATCGCACATTCGCACGTGGATGGCGTGACCATAGAATGATTGAACCGGAGAGCGCGGAGGAACGAGACTTTCTTTTGGATGGCTGTTTTGCTGTGTAACCGGTAACCAAGACACGGGAAGTTTCAGGTTAGCCTCCGCCGCTTGTTTACCTCAGCTGTCTGTGCTAACGAGAGACCTGTGGCTTTTCTCAAGAAAGCGGGGGGCCAGTGGTCCGCTGTGATTGGTCACAATCTGGACCCGAAACACATTCTCTTCCTTGATTCACAAAAACTTGATCTAAAATAAGATGACACGCCAGCACAAATCTGTGCTACTTTTTCATCAAAAGGACGTATATCATCCCAATGCATTGCATGGATATGGATTGAATTTTTGTAATGAATACAAAAATAAAGTCAGGTTATGCAGCTTTAAACAACATTCACATGACAGTCTACTAACAAGACAAGATGAACCTTCCTAAACTATTAGAAATAACATGCGGTAATCATTGTCTATAATGAGTTATATTCACTTTGCTAGTGTTCCTTAATGCACACAGTATTTCACCAATTCATCTTTAGCTGACAACCACAGGGTTGTCCCCCGCCCCATAAGTGAGCTCAGTGTGTGCACCCTCCGCTCAGCCTGCTCCCTACAGCAGTCTTTCTCTGACAGTGGGCCAGCTAGAGCCAGCCACAAATAATACCACATCCTTTGCATCTTTTATATTGAGAGTATGACTCTCCAATGTAGTTAGACATTAGAACTTTTAGAACTGATCATTAATAGGTCCATCATATACAGAAATACATTATATAATTTTTTTTGTGTTTTTTTTTTGTTTGTTTTTTTTTGTTTTTTTGTTTTTTATTGGGGCTTGCACAATTATTCATTAAACCCGAGTTGGTACTTTAGTACCAAGTCTTTTGGGGTATGGCTCTACAAACTTTGCACATCTAGAGACTGAAAGTGTTTCCCATTCAACTTTACAAAACAACTGTCAGCATTTATAAACATGTTCCCAGGTGAGTAACCATTGGCCTCTCGTCTGCATCTGTGAGATATTCAAGTCATGGGAAATTAATTGTGGTTGTTTACAGTTGTGGCCCTGGAGTGCACTGTCTGCACCGGTATTCCAATGTGGGTTTATAGCAAATGGCAAATAAACTTAATTTAACATTTCAAGAAATATTTAATTCACTCAGTTTCTCTTTTTAAACTTATTCACAATATTCTAATATTGTGAGTATGCCTGTGGATGATGAAGGATGACAACCAAAGACTACAGGTGAGACCAGGGATGGGACGGGGCCATGTTTCAAATCTGAATTCTTCTTGGAAAAGTAAATCAAAGATTTCAGGTCATTGAGAAAGCATTGACATGTAGTTACTTATTCAAACACACAAACAGGCAAAACCAAACGACTAGAACATTGTAGATGAGTTTAACAAATATTTCAGAAAGTGAGTTATTTCATATTGAATGCAGCCATTTTATACGTATGTAAATGAAAAGGATAATTTCAGTGAATCCATTTTTTTTCTTATGTGGGATTAGATATTGTTGCTTGTCGACACACAATCCTGCACACACACACACACACACATTCACACACATTCAAACACAAAATACTTGGTCAGATTTTTTGGATTCTGTCATGTAGTGTGACTCGACCCTGGCTTTCAGTTCAAACTCCTGTGATGTCTACAAACACCATGAGCCTGAATAATGATCCAACTCGGGCACTTGCCACACATTAACACATAGTTGCCATCCACGTTGCCAAGTTCACTGTTTGACACCAAATCAGGTCTCAGTCTATTTGCTCTATTAATGTAGCCAATATTGTGCAGAAGCAGATGGTTATCGCAGACGCACACTCACAGCAGACTGGTGCCTGAGCCAGCAGCTCCCTAATGTGGCCTGACTAACAGTAGCTGGTATTTTTCCATCCCTGTGCATACTATAATTGTTTTTTTTCAACCCCCTCTGCTCACTATGTGTGAAAGCTCTGAATAATATAAAAAAATATAACGTAATTTTATATGTATTTTGGGCAGTAAAATTAAAAGCAATCAAATATCAATAACACAAAGGCGGACTAAAGACATGCATATTTAAAGGTTGCTGTTTGTCACAACACAAAGAGTATTCTAAAGGCAGTATATGACTAAATCAGACCACAACATGCATTTTTGATTGTATAGAAACAACATATAAGCAAGTATAAGCATTGTTTAAAATGAACAGTCATACAACAAAAAGAGAGATGCATGATTTTAAGAGTGCGTGCGTGTGTGTGTGCGTGTGTGTGTAACATGTGCAACAGTATTATGTGCATTATGTAGAATAACAAAAAGACGGATAATAAAGTCATAATGTTGAATAAATAATGGTAGATTTTTGCCTGTAGGTAGGTAATGAGAAGCATGTATAGATTATTATACAAAGCTCAGTTAGAGAACTGTCCCGCTGTGGAAAAAATAAAATGGATGAGGTCTGAAGGCAAACATAAAATGGACATTGTCTCTCGTTATAGCTGCCTCATTAGAATCAGTTAGATTAAGTGATGGCATCTGGGCGTAGAGTGTCAGTCAGCCTGGTGCCCTTCCTGGTTGATTGTGTGGATTTCAGCACTATGAGGCAATTGGTGATTACGCCTCCGTCTGCTTATTACTAT